GCAGTATCGCGCATGTGGTTGGACGTGATGAGACTGGCCGCCCAGCCTTCAAGAGGCATAATTATATATCAATTCGAGAGCAAACATGATACTATTGTTAACGAGACAGTGACCGATTCTAGTTAACATACAAATACAATCACATGCACTGCTGCGCCGAGGGTTTGGCACTTCAGTGCCTTTCATTAGAAAAGTATTGGTAGGGTTTGTTAGTAACACAAGGGTAATTTGAGTGCTCACTGGTATGTAGTTGTGCTGGCAGTGGTTAGTCCTAGAATTTATCACACTAGACAATCCACATGCATAAGTAAGGTATGAGGTGGAAAGCAAACAAATCAACTACCCACAGGACCACGATTTGTTTTCTAAGGAGCATCCTTTACAAAGCAGCGCAAAGGAATAACTTTAGCTTGTGTTTCCTCACCAATTAATAATAAAGCACAAGTCGCTTTATTGTGGTTATTCATGTACCAGCAACAATCTTAACTGACACCAATTTTCCTCCAGTGCATAAAAAATCAACATTTAAAAATGGCTGAGCAACTAAGGAGAGATTATAAACTTTCAGATAATCAGTAAGTGATGGTAAATTACTGATATACAAGTTTTCTAATTGTCTCTACAAGGTTTTGGTGGGCAAAATTGCGTGCACTTTGTTCTATTGGTGATTTCGAGGAACTAGAGAGATTTTCCAGACAGAAAAAGTCACCTATAGGATATGAAGTAAGGATTGATGAATTATCGTTATATCCTAAGTATTTGATAGTTGGTGTATTTAGCCATTTGCAGAAATGTGCATACAACATGGGAATAGAAAAGAAGCTGCTAAATATATCCCGAAGTGTGCAGCAGAAGAACGATTTCTACTCTACCTTAAGATCGAGTATGTATTTTGTCAACGTATGAGCAGTTTTGTGATTCACTTTATTATACACAGTGACCTTGTAAGAGCGGCAGATATAGCGTTTCAGGAAAGAAACATTAGGGCTCTAGAAGAGTTACTGGTTAGGGCAGGAAAACGCCCAGAACTGGTGGAACATATCACTTCACTTAAGGATAGGCTAGAACAGAAATAGCTTAATTGTATCATTGAAACAGGATTAATTAAAATGAAGTTCACTTCTGCCTCATACAGATCGCCAAAAACTTTAATTAACCCTTTGGACACCATAGGTATGTCTTTTAATAGGCAGAAAACCATGTAATAATGTAATGCCTAGTATTATAACCCCTATATAAATTGATATGGACTTTATAAAGGAGGCTTTGGACAAATTTATGCGCCCGTGGCTGGTTGAGTGTTAATTACACTGGACATTCTGAGATGCTGGGTGGAAAATTCATCACTAATTCATCACTCCGATTATTGCCAACTTACAGTGCTTTGCACATAGATTGAAACTTGGGATTTTTAACATTTTGGTCCATTACTCGGCCATACTACAGGCTGTGCACCTGAGCCATCTTAAACGTGTAGTCCGCGGATCTGCTAAGCGCTTCTTGCGCGCTCACAGCTCGCGCAATTGCAGAGGCGGAGTCGCTTCCGTGCGCATGCGTATAAAAGGGGCGGTGCCTGGCACAAACATGGCGGCGGTAAAATTCAAAAACGTACCAGAAGGCAAGTGTATGGAGCCTTCGTTTGTACCGCTAGCGCAACGCTGGAACAACATAGCTGCGGTGCGTAACACGGATTGGTAATAAAATGTGCGCACGCGCGTGACACGTGTATATAATACGTATAGTGAAGTGCGTGCAAGCTGGCTGTATGGCTCAGTCTTCCTCCTGTTCCTCAGGACTCTGCTGAGGGCTAGGGCTAGGGCTAGTTCCTCAGGACTCTGCTGATGGAAAGAACAAGATAATTAATATCAGCTATGTCAAAGAGCTTCGCCATTAGCTCGACCGGCTTCAATGGAGGTGCTCCCGCAGGAGCGAGAGCGGACTTTAGAGCTTCCATTCGCTCCTTGAACGCTGCCATTGTGTCAGTGTTGCCAAACGTTAGCTGGAGAGTCAAACGTGGGCCGCCGGCCCTCGGTTTCTTGGCCGCTGGAGGTTCAGACATTCATGTGCGAGTAGCACAAGAAGCGCTGTTCAGCGCATTCATGTGCAAGTAGCGCAAGAAGCGCTGATTTAGCATTGAGAGGCTTTTATTAGGACAAACGCAGCGTGTTTTAGTGCGTGGAAACGGATGCGTGGTAGCCAGCGGCTCAGGAAGTGAAGAGACAGTAGTTTGAACACCGCCATTTTGTCACGGTGTGCGCTAAAGTTAATCGATTTTTGCCTGGCACGCCCCTTTTTATACGCGGACTACACGTTTAAGTGATAAAAAATGTGACCGTCACGTGACAAAAATGGCCGCCAAATAAAGGTCCTTCAAAAAAACGGTTAGGCTGATTAACGGTTTAACACGCGGAGATATCGGAGGAGGCCGCCGGCAGAGGAGCGCACTCTATGGCCCAGCGCTCTGGGTCAAAACCCGATGGTGGGCTTCCGCTTTGTCTCTAGCGGTGTCCGGTCTACTACGGAACGACTCGAGTAAGGATGCTTATCATTCCCTGAAAGACCCTAGTAGCTTAATCCTGGTCCTAGCCCTAGCCGAGGTCCGGCTCCGATCATAATCCATCCGGGTGGCAATGTAGTAGGTTAAACGTAGTTAACGAAGGAGCCAGCCCCTCGCAGCGCGCCGACGGCGGTACGAAGCGCCTTCGCCGCCGGCACGCGCATGCCCAGAGGAGCACCACGTGCAATCTCAGACAGACGGTCGCGTTCTGGTCTCAGCGTCAGATTGGCTTCGGCGCCGTCATCTTCGACTCTTGTCGACCGTCCGCGCCTCGTGGGCAGGTTTTTCGTCCCTCTCCCACCTCGGTCGTCGGCGCAGTGTCGATCGTCGATTCTCTGTCGTGCATCAACGCACCTTGCGTGCCTGCCGAATATCCCCCTGCCCTGTCCGTGTTACGCGCCTCGCCGATCCTCAGCACAGACCCCATTGTCGTCGGCAAATTCACACCTCATATGCAACCTTAGTCTCTTCGTCTCTCTCGCCAATCCTCAGCGCGGTGGCAACAGACGGCAGTGGCACTGCTTCTCCGGCCGCGATGCGCGCTGGCCCGCCGTCGGCCTCGACTGAGACCCGCACAGCTACAGGGGCCCATCCTGTACCGGCAGAGAGTCGCTCCGGACGTCGACCGGTGAGTCATAGTACGCACACACGCGGCGCGTAGGCCGGTAAACGTTCTGCGACCGCTCGCTGCGGTACGCACGCTCGTACGGCGCTGGCCCAGTCACGCCCCATTGGTGCACGTACGGGGGCGCCGCCCGTTTCACGCTGGGCATGCTGTCCGCCGCTAGCGTTCACGGTGGGCATGCTGTCCGCCGCTACCATTCACGCTGGGCATGCTGTCCGCCGCTAGCATTCACTTTCGCCCCCGCTGCAGGACGCTGCACTACGGAGTCGGGGGACGCCAGCCGGCTGTCTGCCGTACTCACCAGTGGACCTACCCCTTGGGGCCTCGACAACTTCGCCGCGTTGACCGACCAGCGTCCGCCCTCAGGAGCAGGGACCCAGAGCTGCGGGGACTACATGGTCCAGGGCCATTCAACCCATCTGCCATTGTGCCTCAGAAGGTGGTCAAGAAACTCCTCGCACTCCTCGTCCAAGCAAGCCGCCGGTCACTACACTCCGCTCCTGGCTATGGCCGAATGGACGCCGTCATCACCTCCAGATTCCGGAGAAGGCTGCAGAGTGCTGGGCATACCAGACCACCACCACCAACCAGAAGCTCTACAGTGAGGCTTTGACAGGGCGAGCCAAGAGGCACCCGCTGTGCCCCCATTGCCTCTCACAGGACCACGCGGCGGCAGGCTGTCCTCACAACTCCAACCCACCCTTCGTTGGGTGGTTCCAGGGAACCCCGCACCCCCAGCTCAGGCCGGCCGCATCTGGGCAGCCAAGTCGCAGAAAGTCGGCATAAAATTCAACAGCAACCGTTGCACGTATGAACCGACTGCTCCAGCCCACATGCGGCAGTCAACTGCCCGAATAGGCAGCCATCGCCGGGCCGAGGGGCTCCGGCTCGTAGCCGCACCCCCACCCAACCCCGCTCCAGCCACGGCAACACCTCCCCGTCAGGGGCCAACCGCAGATCCGAGCAGCGGTAACAATCAAATCAGTGAACCAGGCAGGCCGCAGCAGGCCCACGTACTAGTTCCTCCATAGCATTCTCCGATTCACTTCTGCATGCGTGGCTCATTATAAAAACGGAAAGAAAAAGGAAAAACGACAACAACCCGCGATTGCTAATTTCACTGATGTCCCGGGTCGTTTTGCAAGTACACGGCTGACTTGCTGTGCATGGGCACCTACTGCGGCTCCAGGACAGGAGTGCACCCACGGCTGAGCCTGGTGCACGCCCCTCCAGTCCCAACTGCTTGGGCATCGGCCCTGGGGGATCACCCAGACAGGGCATTTGTGCGGTATATACCTGTGGCGGGGCATGACAGAGTGGGTCCCGGATTGGCTTTCATCACGATGCCCCGCTACGGTCTGCCCCTCGTAACACGATGTCCGCTCTGCAGCACCCGGAGGTCGTGCAAGCTTACCTCGCCAACGAGTGCACTCTGAGTCGCATGCTCGGCCCCTTCCCACTCTCACTCTCTGTGGTCACCCAGTTACCACCGTTCCACGTAAGCCGGTTTGGCGTAAATCCCCAAGGGCCATAACACAGGTTTATTACAGATCTCTCGTACCCTCCATCATATAGTGTTAACGACGGCATTGACCCAGACCTGTGCTCATTGACGTACTCCACTGTCGAGCAAGATCGACATCGAATCGGCCTATCGCCTTCTTCCAGTCCACCCGCTGGACCGCCCGTTGCTGGCGGTGGAATGGGACGGTATGCTATACGTGGACCCAATGCTGCCATTCTGTCTCCGTTCCGCCTCAGAGCTCTTTAATGCCGTGGCCGACTCCCTGGACTGGTGCATACGGAACCGGGGTGTCAAACACGTGTTCCATACTTGGACGATTTTATTGTCATCGGCCCTCCCAGCTCCACCGTGTGTGCAGAGGCCATGGCAACCCTGGACCGGACGTCCTGCCAGTTTTGCGTCCCGATTGCGGACCACAAGCGGGACGGGCCCACAAATTGCCTGACTTATCTCGGCATCGAGATCGACACCGCCCTTGGTCAGCTACGCTTGCCACGGGAAAAGCTTCACCGCCTTCAAACTCTTTTAGTGGAATGGGGTGACCAGAAAGTGTGTGGACGACAGGAACTCGAATCTCTCATTGGAACCCTAAGCTATGCATGCAAGGTGGTTCGGTCCGGTTGCTTCTTTCTGCAACAGATGCTCGACTTGCTCCATGCCATGCCATCACACCTAACACGGCCATACCAATGCGGTTGAACCGGAACTTCCGGTCAGACCGGATGTGGTGGCGCACGTTCGTAACGAGTTGGAACAGCCTTTCTCCCTCCCCTCTTACCTTCCCCGTCTTCAGATGGCATACGATGCGTCAGGTTCATGGGGTTGTGGTGCCTGGCACAGGCACTGCTGGTTCCAGCTCCAGTGGGATAGCAGGTCCTCTCATCTCCCCATCCATGGTGAAGGGGCTCCTCCCGATCGTCCTGGCGAGTTCGGTTTGGGGACCCACGTGGGACAGCTGCCAGGTCGTTTGCCTCTGAGACAATCAGGCTATCGTGGCATGTTTGCGCTCCCGCGCGAGCTGAGTAGCCCACGTTATGCACATGCTATCGTACGTACACTGGCCTTTATAGAAGCTAGATACACGTTCACGCTCACTATATTGACACCAAGTCTAACCATTTGCTGGGCCTCGCGGCGTTGGCTCCAGCTGTTCAGCGCTACTTCAGGGACGGGCTCGCCCCCCTCTACCAGGCGCTCTTATGACTCGGCCATGAAGAAGTCCAGGTGCTCGGCCCGTTCCGAGGGCCTTCTATGCTCATTCGCTGCTGACGCCGGCTTTACCTCGTGGCTTTCCTTGGTTCTTCCGGACCCACGGGAGCAATCGTCACTGCCTGTCCTCAGAAGGGTGCTCGCAGGGATCAGTCAGTCCCGCCTTGGTCGGGGCGGCACCGCCTTCTTCGGGTTTTTTCTGCCACGGCGAACTTCTGCTCCCCAAACAGTCCGACTTCCACCCAAGACTCCACCTCTCCTGGGAGGACATGGCCATTGACAGCAGCAGGCCCCAACCATGCTTAGATTTCGCCTGACAAGACAGACCCCTTCGGCCGGGGCGCCCATGTACTCGGAGGAACTGGATGCAGATTATGCCCGGTCGCCGTGGTACTGACCTACGCAGCTACTCGGGGAAGCCAGCCCGGCCCGTTCTTCATCACCTCCGCCACGAGGGCCTTGACAAAACAGTAGTTCGTGTGTGAGATAAGGAAAGTTCTAGTCAGGTTGGGCCTCCCAGACAACGAATACGCCGGACACAGCTTCCGCATTGGCGCAGCAACGTCCGCCGCTATGGAGGACTCCATGTTCCAGCTGTTGGGTCGATGCGTCGATGGCAAAGCGCAGCGTCGCGGCACAGGCTCACAGTGACTGATCCACAGCAACAGCTATTTTCTTAGCCTATATGCTACACTCCCTATTGTACCATTGTCCCCTTATGTACTTCTGTGTAATTATATTCTTTGGGGGAAGAAACAGCAGCCGCCAAGCCGGCTGCAGCTCCTTGGGTGGACTCGCTCCTAACGACAGGGGCATACTCCCCCAAAGAAGCATGCCGCGGGGGTTGTCCTGCCAAGATAACGAACCCGGTAATTAGCAAGAGGATGCTCACGGGGTCACGTGACCAAGTTAGGCAGCCCATGGCCTACCACGTGACCTACCGCATCCGCACGGGACAACCGTGTGTCATCATGTGACCCGCCGTGACGGGGTCCGCACGTGAAAACCACATGACGGAATCGGACACCCCCGCAGGGTCTGGCTCCTCCAAAGTATAGAATGGGCAACTGTAGTTAAAGAAAAGTAAGGTGCGAATAGCTGGCCTAAAGAATGCAGGTAGTACACGAGTCCACTATGACCGTTGGGCTGTTGCTAATAGCTGGGATGTTGGGATTATAACTAGCTGAAGTGACGTTCTGCCGCGCTCTTCGCTGGCTACAATTGTCAAAACCCCGCCTCCTATGAATATCGTCTATCCGCTCTGTCAATTCAAATTCTACGGAGACGCCACAACATTTCACGCGTACCGCATCAGCTGTTGCTACGTTCCGCCATCCTGCAACTCACCGGAGAGTCCCGTCACCGGCTACCCTGTGTCTTCCAAAGTCAGTGGAGGACTGGAAGCTCCTTCTAGACCACTCTTGTCCCTGAAATCATGTCTCTTTCTTCTCCTGAACAGATGAGCTCTGTATTGTGTGAGGGCATCTACTCCTACTTCGCCTCCACATACGGCACCAAGACCGCTGCCACCAGGAGAGCGAAGAAAAGACCACCCCACCGCAGGGCTCTCAAGGAGGTTGAGAGACAGAAGGACGCCAAGAGGGAGTTGCGTTTGGCGAGGAAAATTGGATCGCCTGCTGAGGTTGTGCACTCCCTAGCTACTCACTTCATCTCCCTTGTTCGAGAGCACAGCAAGTTGAAGAAATCGTCAAATGCACGCTTGCTAACAAGAGAAGTGAAGGCAGCGAGGGAAAGGTGTCACAGGAATTTCAGGCAGTGCGCCAGGGAAATTCTGGATGGTGGGCTGGAACCCTCGTTTGGGGATGAGGCTGCAACCTCTTTCTTCTCAGAGGTGTACCACTCCGACCCTCGTAACTTTGTCCAGCCAGAGTGGATGCTGACACCCTCTCCTCCGGAGGTGGAAGGCTGGCTAGGGTCATCAGGAGGATGAAGGCACAATCAGCTCCCTCCCCCTTCGATCGGGTTGGGTACATCATCTTCAAGAAGTGCCCTTCCTTACTACCTGGCATCAAGCTGTTCAATACCTGCTGGGCTCAGTCGACCATCCCCGGGGTGTGGAAGCGTGCTGCCATCAAACTTAACCCCAAGAGCTCAGCCTCAGAGGATACTACCAACCCGGGCAATTTCCGACCGATTGCCCTGACACCCTGTGTTGGCAAGTTCTTTTCAACTCTCCTTCGGAATCGCTGGCTGAGGTACATGGTCACCAACAAGTACCTCGTCAGTTCGCTTCAGAAGGCGTTCATGCCAACTGTGCCAGGTTGTACGGAGCATCATCAGAAATTGTCATCAATTCTGGCAGAGGCCCATTCCAACCACAAATCTGTGGCTGTGTGCTGGTTGGATTTGGCCAATGCCTATGGCAGCGTACACCACTCTCTGATTGACTTCTCCCTACGTCACTACCATGCTCCTCCCCAGTTCCTTTCTACTGTTCAGGCCCTCTACACAGGGCTACAAGCAAAGGTCATCACTTGCTGAATGGAAAACTCCAGTCATCCCTCTTCGGGGGACCCTCTCTCAGTGGTGATCTTCAACACAGTCATGAACACTCTTTTGGACACAGTATCCCTCCAGACTGATCTTGGCTACCGGTTCTCCAACTCTCGTTCTTCAGTACGCGGATGACACCTGCCTGATTGCCAGCCTCCTGCCAGTATCTACTCGACACCACCTCAAACTGGCTACAGTGGTCTGAGATGTCAGCTAAGGTACCCAAGTATCAGTGCCTTTCTCTGCAGGGCTCTTCGGGGAAACTAGCTGACCCCCACCTCACTCTGGATGGGATGCCCATCCCCTTCTTCACTGGGCCAGTCAGGTTCTTGGGCATGGAAGTCCAGGTTCCAAAGAACAACTCTGAGGCTGTCCTGTCAAGGCTCCAAGAGATGCTCCAGGCCATCGATGTGTCGTTGCTGTCAAGGAAGCAGAAGCTGCTGCTCTATTCTGGAGGGGTGTTTCCTCTTCTGTCCTGACCGCTGTTGATCCAAGAGTTCCCCACCACCTGGATGGATGACTCTATGGTCACTGGATACCTGAAGAAGTGGTCTGGGCTTGGAAAGTCAGCCAACACAGCTCTCCTCTACCTCCCCCACTTGCTGGGTGGCCTGAACCTTCCCTCTCCCTCCACCCTCCACAAAAGGCTTCAGGTCTCCCGGCAGTGTCAGCTCCTCACCTCTCAAGACTCCTGTGTGCGGTTCCTGGCTGACCATGGCCTCAAGAATGAGCTTTCTTTGTCCAGGAAGAAATTCAGACCTGCTTTGGAGGCCAGAAAGCATTGAAGGTCAGCCCAGGATGCAGCAGGAAAACTCTAACGAAGTCTGCCAAAGTTCTTGTCTCTGAGGAAGTCAACTCATCTCGTCTTGAGTCTCGAGAGGCAAGGCCAGTGGAGTAGGTGTACAAGCCCCCCAGCTGTGCCCCGATCTGGTGCTAGCACTACCTGAGGACCAATTAAAGTTCGCCATCAACGCAGCGGTGGCAAAACCACTCTTGTTTAAGGGGGACACCGAAATGTTGGCGAGATAGGGATAGGTGCAGTGAGATAGGGATGTTACCATTCCATACTCTAACTGTGGTCAAAATATTAAGGATTGTTTAGTTGCTCTCTTACTCCACCCATGTGCCTCCAACAAATGCAAAATCGTTGACACCCTTCTTTAATAAGGGGGGACAGTGCAGCTAGATAGAAGAAGTTACCATTCCATACTTCAACTGTAGTCAAAGTATTAGGGATAGCTGGTTTTGTTTTCCACCAATGTGCCTGCAACAAATGCAAAACCGTTGACACACTTATTATAGCGAAAATTAGGCAAGATAGGGATAGGTGCTGCGAGATATAGGATGCTACCATTCCATACACTAATTATAGTCGAAATAATTCTTAAGAATAGTTTGTTTGTCTCTTTTTCCACTCATGTGTCTGCGACAAATGCAATATCGTTGACACCCTTATTAAGGGGGACAGCGAAATTTGGGCGGGATAGGGATAGGTACAGTGAGATATAGGATGTTACCATTTCATACTCTAATGAAAAGCACTGAAGTGCAAACCCTTGGCGCATTGTGACGCGCACGCGTCAGTAAACGCATGCGCTGTATCACTAATCGATGGGCTGGGTTTAGTTTTACCTCTTGCCAGCTCGCCCTGACCTTCGTCACCCGTTGGGTAGATGGTATCGTTTCTGGGACGAACAGACGTTCGAGGAGTGAGATGTAGACTAACCGGCAAACAAACAGACCCAACTACTGTACCCTCGCTGCGCATGCGCGCCGAGGGTTAGAGATAGTTGGTTTGTCTCTTTTTTTACTATGTGCCTACAACAAATGCCAAATCGTTGACACCCTTATTTAAGGGGGGACACCGGAATTTGAACGAGATAGGGATATGTGCAGTGAGAAAAAAGATGTTACAATTCCATACTTTGACCATACGCAAAGTAGTAAGGATAGTTGGTTTGTCTTTTTTCCCCCACTGTTGTGTCTTCGACAAGTGCAAAATCGTTGACGCCCTCATTTAGGGGGATATTATAGCGAAAATTGGGCAAGATAGGGATAGGTGCAGCGAGAATAGGATGCCATATTCTAACTGTGGTCAAAATATTAAGGATAGTTGGTTTGCTCTCTTTTTCCACCGACGTGGCTACAACAAATGCAAAATAGTTGACACCCATATTTAAGGGGCCTTTTCCCGTAGCGGGATGCTACCATTCCATACTCTAATTGTGGTCAAAATATTAAGGATTGTTTGTTTGTCTCTTTTTCCGCTCTTGTGCCTACAACAAATGCAATATCATTGACACCCTTATTTGGGGGTATATCATAGCTCAAATTGTGCAAGATAAGGATAGGTGCAGTGAGATAAAAGATGTTAACATTCCATACTCCAATCGTAATCAAAGTATTATGGATAGTTCGTTTGTCTCTTTTTCCACCCATGTGCCTACAAAAACTGACAAAATTAATAGTCGGTGCCCTAATTTAGAGGAGACACCGAAATTTGGGCGCAATAGGGATAGGGATATCACTAAGTACGGTAGTACTTAGTATATATAGAGATTGGCTTTATTACATCATTTCTATGACGACAACTTTATTATGTTTCTCAGTCCATCCAGAAGATTAGTTGCTCGCTTGTTAAAAATCTTAAAAGTGAGGGGATGGGATACACGAAGCATAGTTAATGAACAGATTTGAGCCTGCTGACAACCCCAACCCCATCACAAAATCCCTATAATTATTGTTGCCTGTTGTGTAACTCATAAACTCCATTTGGACTCATGGACAATCATGCTCAGGTGACTGACATACAGTGAAGGTCAAGGTCAGTGTGAAAATTCCTGCTCTAGAACCTGCATTAGTCAGGTGTGGCTGGACTGACATACAGTGCAGGTGAGGTCAGTGTGAAAACTCCTGCTCTAGAACCTGCACTAGCTGGACTGACGTACAAGGTTAGATGACCAGCCTTGCTCTAGGAGAGGCACTTTTAGGTGTAGCTGAATTACAGTGCAGTGCAGATATAATTATAGGTGACTTTTCCAGTGCCTGAATGAACGAGGTCCATGTCATCTGGAGTGATAATCAGTACAGGTAGCAGTTTAGATGATATAGGTCAATGACATACCAAGAGCTATCTGTGTGACACATTTCCTTAAGTGCAGAGTTGCAGGAAATTCACCTTTTCTTCCAGTGCCTTTTACACCATCCCTATATATTTGCAGGAGTTTTAACTTACTTGTCTCCACTCATTTGTTAATACTACTATGTACATCTCTGAAAGGGGGCAAGCCCCCTAATACAGAAAATGCCTGATGTCGTCATGGTAATACGCATGCATACCAAGTTTCATGTGCTGCCGTTGGCAAGTTTTGAAGAGTGAAGAAGTAAAGGCCTGAAGCTATTTGTTGTAGCAGTACCGCCTATGCGCAGTTCGCCGAGGGTTTGCACTTCAGTGCTTTTCATTTACAAAGAAATGCTCTTGCACGACCTGTCATGGATTACAATGTCTCTGCAAAGTTTCATCTCAATATCTTTCCTGGTTTTGAGATACGCTTGTCTAAACTGAACAACGACAACAAGAAGAAGAATTTTGAAAACTGACTTTCTTGAATAAATAAATTACCGATTTACTACCATACTTAGTGATAACATTGTAGATCACTAAACTCTCAACACTATATACATAGATACATATATACATGACAGCAAACACTGAGCCTAGCAACTGAAGATGAAGTTACTGCTTGTTCAGCTTTTCACGCTCTTCCATCTCGTTTCTCACCTCCAGTATATATGGCCTCATATACAGTTTGTCCTGTGTCAACAGAAACAAGCCAGAGCATTGTAAGAATATAGTTGCAAGCCTTTTTCATGCCACTATTCAATATAATTGGCCTTTGATTGTTCTCCACATTTTCATACGAAAATATTTCGTGTGACAATCTGCTTGAAACTTTTTATTGTGTGTAATAATACTCAGGTGGCTGCTCCACCCATTGCTCTGGGAGCGAGGGTTACAGTAATTGCCGAGTGCGTTAGCGTGAGGCAACTACTCCGGGTTGTATTCTCGCGATATGCGTACGTACGTACGTACATCGTCAATTAGTCACGCTTAGGAATGTCAATTAGTCACCAAAAGGAAGTGTAACTTCCGTCATTCGTAGGAAGTCTATAGCTCCGCCGTGCGCGCAGATTCGGGCTTCGCGCGCAGTCAGTAGAGCGCGCGCACGGGCGGCCTCAGTCGGACTGTTTACGCATTGGCTGGCAGGCGCGAGGCAAAATATGCGCGTGCGCATTCCTAGTAATAATAATACTCAGGTGGCTGCCATAGCACTAGGGCCATAGACCACGCACCAGAGCAATGGGCGGAACCGTTAACAAACGAACATACACCATATGAACATGAGGTGTCTGTCTCACCTCCCAGACACCTCAGCTCATCCCTTCCACCAGTGACACCCTGCAGCTCCCCAGACGCAATCTGAGACTGGGTTTGTTGTACGCGGGGACTATCGCCGTATGACCTAACCCTTCTTAGCTCTCAAACATCCAAAATAAAATCTTTAACAAGGCCAAGCAAAGAACCAAATTTATCCTCCCACAGTTCACTACCCAATATAAAGGATGCTTTCCTGAAACTATCAAGCGACTGGAAATGCTCAAACCCATCATCCCCAAGCTTCCCCTGCAGGGCAACTAAGAAATTGCTCCTCAGACTACTATATGCTGGACACTCCCACAACACATGACTCACACTTTCATACTTATCATCACACAACAGGCACTCCTTCACCCCCTCCCTCCCCCTATGCCTACCCAGTTCCTCATTTAGCCCATGCGTGCCTGACCTGAACTTAAACATTAATCTAGACCCAGCATCACTTTTCTCATGCAAGTACTCTACCACCTTGTTAAATGTCTTATACAATAACAGCTTTACTTTACTATTTAGCCCCTCTTCAAACTTTCTAATCTCCCTCTCATTAATACTGTCCCCTACTATAGACAGAAAGCCCTTCAAGGAGCAATCCCCATTTTGAATATCATGCAACCACTCTGCCTTGTCAAGACCTAATGACGAAAAGAGATCATCAATGACCTTACTCCAACTCTTCCTCTGCCTGCCTCTCCGTGGCTTAAAATTCCATTCCTGATTAAAAAGCTTCTTCGGATACCTATTGCCTGGCAATGCCGCTAACTTATACCACCACTTCAACTTATTCTTATCCCTACGCCCTTGTAACGTATCAAGCCCCATATCCCCCCTAACGGCTTCATTACATGTCTTAGACGAACACCCAAGAATGCGCTTAGCTCCTCCCAGCGAGGGTTACAGTAATTGTTTGTTTGTTTGTGGACGGCTATTCTCCCGCTACAGACTACGAAGAGGCATATAAGCGATACCAACAGCTTTAGAGGGCCAGAAAATTAAAAAGGACATTTTCCTGAAACGACATGACATGAAAACAAGCAACATGCATACGCACTGGCTAATCATGACCTGATAAACTTGCTCTGTGTGTACCTTGAAAAAGCCACAACGAAGAGCGTGTACAAACCCCCGCATGTTATCTACTAGTTTTTCTGTCCGACTCTCCGCAAGTTACATAGTAGCACAGAGGAGGTTGGAAGTTACATTACACCATTGCAATTTTTGCTGAGTCAGCAGCTTGTCTTCCGTAGAGAATGTATGGCAAAAACAAAGCTCTCGCTGAACAAAAGTAAAACAATTATCGACATACAGTTTTGTAGACAGGTAGGTCAATCCGAGGCAGAAGATAGTGAAAAGCCGACAAACCTCCCTCTACCCCTGGTTACCCAGCGAGTTAAAGCGTCAATTACAAGACGCCCTCTGCCACTCAGTACATGAGATTAATAACTAAGCTGAGCATACTATACCCTTTTTCAACACCTCCTACAACTCACGATTTAAACTAACAAACTCGGCCATAAAATGTGTATGTCAGGACCTCGGCGGCACAGACCTTGCATTCTTTCACCCGTTATTTGGAATTCTTTTGCGATTCACGTGCAATTCACGTGAGTCTTTCCAGCCTCCTCTGATAGTAGCAGGAGATCACACACACTCATAGCCTAGCCCATCAATTAGCAGTACCGTGCATGCACAGTGCGCCGACGGTTTGCACTTCAGTGCTTTTCGAGAAAAATATAAATGACCTATGTACTTCAGCTCTTCCTAACAGGTTTTTAGAAAGCTAATGCAACACATTTTTGCTAACGCAACACAAGCAGTTCAATTATATTTTTGTGCCAGTGCCAGTCACCCATAAAAATACGTTAACGAGTGAAGTGAGCCCACCTAATCTTCTGAGTGTGGGATTTTCCCACATGTCCCTCTGCAACTGGCACACTGTTACATGATTATAAATACATGCGTGAAATATTGAACTGCTAACTTCGCTTGCCCCAAAAATGTGTGGCATTCCTCTATAGTAATTCAAGTTGAGAATACACTTCGCCACATGTACATTCAAAAGGAGGGTTTTCTAATTTCACACAAAAAGACTGACAGAACTGGGTCTTCTAGAGCTACAACATGGCACGTACTGCACAACAGAGTCAAGGGCAGCTAAGTTCTTATATAAATTCCCTGCATTCAAAAGACTACGTACTTTCGCTTTACTCGCCACATAGTAAACTATTGGATACTCAAACCTCTTCATCAGCTGTCCACTGCTCCTTAGGTAAGATGCTCTTCTTCATGGATAGGTCCAGGGCTCTCTTCAAACGCCACAGTCTGAGGTCTTGTTCCTCCTGTGGAAGTCTACGAATGGCTTCTGCTACAGCAGGATCCTCTTCCATGTACAAATCTTCCCTGCGTAGACCTAACAAAGAGATGGCATTGTGGGTAGTATCATCTGTACTTCTCTGCTAGACAATCAATGCTGGGAGCTGCCTTCCGTGAGAGAAGAAGAGAGTGGTGTCAAAAGTTACACAGCAAAGCCAAAAGACCTAACACAGTAAGGTTGTAGAACACTGCTGCTACACATTTGCTATCAACCCCTAGTCTACCATTCATTGTAGTCTTGCCATTGAATGCTAGAGCATATAAAACGGCCAAAAAGTATCATCTGGCATTTGTAATCAACTCCCGCATCTCTCAATGGTTCGTTGTGCACAAACCCAAGTAACGTGTACCAGCCGTCGTTTGGGGGTGCAGCTGTATGTAAACAATCTGCGTCTATGTTTAGTAGTACGCAGGACAAACATACCATATTTCTGGTACCCAGCATTACGAACAGCCCAGGCAGACAGGGAGTTCCACAGCCTCTGGCCAACAGAGAGTGCACTTTTCGAGCTGGACACCGCCATTTTATCCTTCAAATAACTCTAATTATCGCACCCCAACGCTTTTCTGCATGTAATAAATGGGCGGAGATCTGAACTACACTTTAGACAGTGCGGTACGGAGGTATATAGCAGTCTAGTAGCTTGAAACCAAGTGAGCAGATCGGAGGGTTTGAGGTTCAAGAGTGTTTATGTGATCGAAATACTAGTACCAGTCGAGATGTTCAAGGCGTGTATCGGTCTGAACTGTGCTCGGACTATAGATTTCATCGATCATAGACACTGCAGTCTGACCTTCATCCCTGATGATGTCTATCGAAACGAGCAAACACTCGAAGATCTGTTGTTGGACTGCAACATGCTGCAGGAGTTGCCTGCGGTGAGCGGAGGGGGTGTTGCCCAGCTGTGTCTGGTGTTTGTATAGTTGGGGTGCGGTGCGGTGCGAGTATATAGGACAACAAAGGGGGTGTGTGTGGTATACATAGATCGGGGATCACTTGCTGCGATTGGGTCATTTTTGCATTTGGTTAGCTGTCCTTGTTGGCCCTAACTGTCTACTGTACAAGTATAAACGGTGCAGATGGGAACCTAGTGTGATGACACTGTGGGCTGATGCCATTGGAATGTTGGGTATGTACCATTCTGACAACTCTGGAGCAGGATGGATCGTGTTGCTATGCATGACCGATCAGAGTTGTTGTGGTCGCAGTTTGGTTGCAGCACCACCACTGGCAAATCACGGTTTTAGGGTGGCCAGGGGTAATAATACCTCCCTCCTTTGTTTTCACACATTCTTTGGAGAAATGCTGGTCAAATAATTTCTCCCTTGTCAGTGCAGTGTTTGACCAACTAGGTTTGTACACACTACTATTGTGCTATTATCATGTCAGTTGTCTACAATTTGCTGCAACTAAGGGATGGTGGGCTGTATGTTTGTAACTACAATTTGAGTAGTCAATCTACTGAACATTCTTCATCATCAGGGATGAATGTTGAATGGCATGGTTACATGTCGATAAATCAGGAATGTGGTATTTGTCATGTGGAGCCTAGCACTGCTTAGAGTACTATTGTGTGTACATAATTGTCAACAGAAACCTTCACATACAGTACTTTGCTATAGTACGTACAAGTGTATATACAATGCAAATGTTAAAAGATGTTTTGAAGCATGTTAAAGGTGTTTTGGAATTCTATTGCTCTATACATAAACTTGTTTTGTTTCTTCAGAAATTCTTCCGACTTACGAACCTTCGAAAACTGACTCTTAGCGAGAATGATCTGATGCGTATCCCTCCTAACGTTGCCAACCTCACTAAGTTGACTGAGCTTGACATCAGCAAGAATGGTATGAGCTTTGTATGTACTCAGTATCTCTCTTCCTTCAAACAGCCTTGTACTTTGTTGGTTCTCTGTATGCAGGTGCACTTTAAAACCTATGGATTGTATATACCTTTTTTATATTCAAATATCAGCCTGTTAGATGTGTCTATTGGCTAACAGCCCCTTTCTTGTTCGTCACATGCAGTTTGCACTTATAATTATTATGCTAACACATGTCCACTACCAGTAGTATGTGTGAATGTGGCAAAAGAGGCTGACTGCCTTTAACTCTCCTTCAACTGGGATAGCTGTGGCAGAACATGCTAGTTAGTACAGCCATTCTGGGTAGTGGTGCTGCCATTGATGGCCAGTAGGTAGATTTAGTGTCAACAAGGGCAAATGTGTCTCTAAGGTCTATTACTATCCAGATGTTGCACTGTGTTAACATTTAACTCTGTGTACATGTTGGGCCTGTAAAACTTTTTATGCTCTTACTATGCAGCAATTGAAGAGCTACCCACTAACATGCAGTTCTGCCGCTCCCTGCAAGTTCTTGACCTGTCTTCCAACCCTCTTCTCCGGTTGGTTGTAACTTATCATCTTATTTTTGTACCAACCAACAGTTGTACTGTATGTACTTGGGTTTTCATGTCATTCACTCTGACCTAAGTAGACGTGCGTTTTAGCTGTGATCTAAGCAGCACTGTGCACCCAGCTTCAGATTATAGCTGATGTACATGTGTGTGCCTGCCAAGAGGATATATAGTGCTATATAGTCAGCTAACTTTGCGTATCCACTCTTAGGTGTTAAATAGGTTCCTCACACAACTTGCCTAACTTTAAAAAAGTTGTGAGGTGTGTGCAAACCGACCAATCATATTGCTCTGCGCACTATGATTTGAGATATTCAACTGCTTGAGTTTGTTGGATGATACCTTTTTGATGACAGTTCTTGTGTTTTGTTACTTTACTATTTAGAACGCCAGAAACACTTTCGTCTGTAACATCCCTCACTGAACTATACATTAATGATGTCAGTATTCCTTCCCTCCCAAATGAAATTGGCAGGTGAGTTACATTAAGTCGTTTGAAATTGAGCTTCCTCGAAATTGAGTGCTAATGATTTTGTATTATGTATACACATGCAGACATCTGTAGGAGCAAGTGTATGTGTGTGTTTGTGTGTGGGGGGGGGAGTTAAATAATCTCAGGAGCACCCCTAACAGTGTTTGCTATACTTTATATTCCTGTCGATATTTACCTTCATAAATAAACATTCTGAGTGTTATGTGTCTGTGTGTCATACAACTGTTTTCTCATTTTTTACAGCTTGTCTAACCTTCGTATCCTGGAGAGCAGAGAGAACTTGCTGAAATCACTACCAATGTGAGTTGTATTGCGCCTGGTGGGTGCATACCGTGTAATGTGTTTGTGTAGGAGGTGGGAGTTAACATTTGAGTGTGGAATGTTACAGCATGGTTAAGTGAGTGTAGGGGTGTACAGGTGGTGTGACAATGATTGTATGCCTGCAGTATGGTGTAGCCACTGTGTGTACAAATTCTAAGAAGGCTGTTCATTTGTATGTGTGCAATTGTGTGTGGTCTCCATGCACTTGTGGTGTAGTATTATGACGGTTAGGTGTGTCCTGTTCATGCATAACATTACAGTTATGTATGTGATATGTTAGCCTATTTTATTGTTTCCCTCGCAGAAGCATAAAAAATCTAAAGAAGCTGCAAAGATTGGATGTTGGAAACAACGAGATAGAGTCTTTGGTAATCCATGTTTATTGTTAATGTTTCATGTGTGGTGTACATACATACATGTATCAACGTGCATGTAGTATGACCCAGTGAAGGGATCAGTAATTGCCTAAGATATTCTGGGAATGGAAAACAGAAACCTGAGAGTCCAGACAAGCATCATTCAAGTACATCACCTATATGGGACTGTGTATGTGGATCTTGCGTGTTAGATTACTCTCACTCTACACCGATTATGTGCTGTATGGGGCATTGGGTGGGGTCATTCCCAACTTAACATGATCACACAAATGAGTTGTAATAGATGGGTTCAGTACGTTTTGTTTATTTTCTTTAGCCTAATGAACTGGGGGAGATGGAAGAGTTGATGGAACTATGGCTGGACGACAACTCAATCCAAGAACTACCTCATGTATGTAATTTAGTACACCTTAATAATATTCCCGGTTTAGAAGTGTCAGTGCCACACACCAGTGCAGTTACTATTTTCAAAGCTGTTGAGTACACTGTAGCAAATGCGGGGAACTGTCTCGGTTGGTCTAAGCAAGTTCAATAATCTAATTTTCAGTTATATATTATGCTTACTGAAAGCCTGAAGCTCAGCTCTGTTTAAAACCTTAAATTCAGCTGTTAATGGGGTTGACACAAAAAGCATCAGTAGCGAGTTTAGACTGTATGCCTAGCAAGAGCTGTTTGTGTTCAATCCTCCTCTTTAATGTACCCACCTACATTCGTGTAGTCAAAACTAATATTCCACTGGGATTAGGTGTTACGAGGGTGTATTACTCTTCTGGGATTTTTTGTCAGTGCAATTGTACCAGCTGAGTCACTTCAGTATGAAAATCATTTTGGCAAGCGAAGCCTGTACCTATGTACATTGTCATCTGAATTTCACATATTTTTTAAATCTATCTGGGCAGCTGTGTCACAATAATCTAATAGAGATGTACTCATTAAACTGTTGTCCTCCCCACTCATCTCTATTTTCCAGAGTATTGTCCGGCTGAGCAACCTGGTAGTCCTGGACATCACCAAGAACAAAGTGGCATACTTTCCTCCAGGCTTCTCCCAGCTCACATCCCTCTCTGATCTTCATGCATCTGAGAACTGCCTTGAAGAACTCCCTGAAGACTTCGGTCAGTGACCACGGCTTTGTTGTAACTGCAGAGTGTCATTGGTGTGAGTCCCACACAGGGCAGCTTTTTCAAAGTGATATACTGTGTGCTATTGATTTGTTTACTTTGCCCTTGCTTATACCTCATTTGTGATCCATAGTAATCATTGTGGTGTTGGTGTGTCTGTAATTTTTGGGTAATTGGTGATGCAGGGAAACTGAGGTCACTGCATCTAGTGAAGTTGGACTACAATCATCTAAGAGAACTTCCAGAAAGTATAGGAGAGTAAGTCAGTTGCATCATAATGATACGTATGTGCCCCTTGCTACTGTAGTCCCACCAGGCTATTATACGTGTATATCAGTGCATGTGTTTTGGCGCATGCACGTCGAGAGGTGGTTGAGGCAAAAGAGTAAGTACATAGTGTATTTATATAACGTATAATTTGTTTGCATACCCATGCATGTCACATGATGACTTACCAGCCACATCGACTCTTGCCTTGTCAGAGCTCGTTTTTCCATATTTCTTATAAGTAGATCTCCTTAGCTTCTCAGTATGTATTCTGAGCTAGATTGAGTGCCCATTTCTCTCCTGTATGTATGTCTAGTATGGCTTCATCAAAATTGTCGCTGTCTGGTTTGTGGGATGATGTCTATCTGGTGAATCTTAGCTATCCTGAGTGCAAAAATATATCAGAAAACTTGTCCCAGTTTGAAAGATGGTGTGTTTGCCGTGTAAAAATGTAGAACAGAACGAAGAAAGTCAGTCATTAGTATAGGTTTCAGCGGTGGTGATCTAGCTCTAAGGATGGCTGCTGACCTCACAGAACAGTGCTGTTAGGCATGAAGGTGTGCAGTCCCAGCTGAGGAACCAGTGAGCAAACTCTCAGAAGTACATAGGGGTTTCACACTCGGTAAAGAGAAAACCCTAGTTCCAACTAAATGCTTTCTCTGTGTTCTGACTACTCGAAAACTGCACAACATGTCAGATTGTTTTCAAGCTACAACAATGTGCCAACATGTTTGTTATATGAGAGTATCACACACTTCAATCTGATTCGCTCCGCCAACATTCCGGCGTCACTGCAGATAAAACGTGTTCCCCCTCTCCTCCCTTTACTTGCACTTCGCATGCGCAGTTATACGTATGGCCTGCAAGACTATTGATCTCTTGGATCCTAACTCCCACTTTGCAGTCCAGTATGTCAATCTCCTAAATCCTTTTCCCCGTTTATCTCCAAAGTCCTAAATTACACTTCGTGGGCCGGCTAACTGCATTTAGGTCAAGTGCAGTACGTACCGCCACTTCCGACATAGGGGCAGGTTTTTGAGAACACGTTGCGGAATTACTACGTAGGACCTTGCTGTTATTGTGGTTCCCTTTGTGTAGTTGGTGGTTGTTGTTAGCAAGCATTAAGTACATGTGCTTGCTGGCAGGTGGCCGGAGTCATAGTGGCCTAGTTGCCAATAATGCCATTACATACTTTCAGAGACCACAGACTCTTGGTTGCTAGCTGAATGATTTGGGATTAGTGACCATGATTTTGTTTTCCCCTGGTTGTGTATATATATATAAAGTGTAAGCTGTGCCTTTCTTTTTCCCGATGGAGTTGTTCAATGGGGCAGTGGAAAATTGCTCGTATATAATAGGTCACCAAAGGATGAAGGCAAAGGAGCCAGAGTCAATTTCCGGATGAACATAGCCCCGGCCTCTTGCTCTTGTAATGCCCATTTGCACATATTTTAGAGCAGTCCTCCTCAATCCAGCCACCAAAGGCCTCTAATCCAGCCCTGCAACAGACAGGTTACCTGCAAGGTTTCGATGCAAACCTGAAGACCTGCTCTGAGGCTGAACTGGGACATTGTCTAAGAGTTAACTGCTGAAAGGGTAAGCAACTAAAACATCCAGTGCAGCAGGTCTACCTCCACACCAGCTTAGGAGGATATAAGCAGGGCAAAAACAAGAGGATGCAATGAGTTTTGGAACTTCTTTCAAGGCTGCGGAACAGGTACCTTCAAGTATGACACCACGCATGAAATTTTGCTGGAATGCAATCATTATTCCCACCGCACCTAACTTAGTGGTGTCCGAAGGATCAGGTATGAAGGACAGGGAGAAGATCAGACAGAACTTGAACTCGAGGTCATGAAGGTTAAATCTTAGTGCGGGAGAGAGAACAATATTCAGCCAATCTAGAACATGGGTAAAGTTAGCGACAGCACTGGCACAGGTATCAGGAGCCAAAGTGAGCAGCCAATGCTGGGATCGAAGCTTTGTCCATGTAGACAGGGAGTGGGTTCTGGCAAAGCAGCATGTCAATAATATTCTTCTAACAGAGAGACCCAAACTTGGTGTTATATCTTCCAGACTAAAACCTGCATGTATATATGACACCTTATCGGTAAAGGATTTCATCCAGACTGGCAAGAAGGGAGGCGTGCCTGGAGTTCCTCGAACATGGCCCTTTTATCAGTGTTGTAGAGATCTTGAGGGAGAACACGGGAGGATTCATGAATCAGCCATGATATATGTGAGACAGAATGGCCTGATCACAACTCCCATCTGGTGTGTGGTAAGCAAGTGGGATCTCAATGCTGCTTTTGAGGAGAAAACTGCTTCTCGGAGGTTGCTCTCATCAAGGAGGGAATGGCTTGTCCCTCTTAGGCAACGGCCTGGATCTGCCTACAGCTCAGTTTAACAGCTGGTACTCCCTTTTCGCCCTTTTCATGGTTTATCTTCACTACATTCCAATTTCTCTTCCTTCATGTTTTCTTGTCACCATTCTATTTTTGTTCCTTCTAATTTTCTTTGTGGATGTACGTACATATACCTTTCTATCCATGTTCTTCTAACTGCCTTAGGTTGGAGCATGTGACAGAGCTCCTCCTCTATGACAATATGCTCGAGTGTCTACCACCCTCTCTCTTTCACATGAAGTCCCTGGAGATGCTAAATGTGGACAGAAACCACATAGCAGAGATCCCTGGCACAGTGAGCATGAATGTGTTAATTACGCCATTCAGTTAATCACACAGAGATCACATGTGTGCATAGCCTTTAGCTGAGTTAGTCTAACCACATAGCGCTCTAACACGCGCTGCATGTATATAGGTAGCCTCTTGGACAATGCTGGACTGGGTAAAGGTCTCCCAAGTATGTATATTCCTACCTTTACAAAAGCTCAACCTGGTGTATAGGGAGGCCATTGCCATTGGCTTTTCACTTGTTATACCTAATTGTGTCATAAAAACCACTACTCTCTTTTGCAATCTTATAGTGTACACACACAGACAAGCATGCACTCCGAGAGTAGCTGCCCAACTGTATTCCCCACATCAGGCCAGCATGTTGTTTTCTGTCACACAAATGTGTATACAGTGGAAGAAAGTGAGCACTCATAATCCAGAATGATAAGACCACGCTTGCCATCCCCGAAACTTAATATAATTTTGTGAGTGGGTGGGGTCGCAAACGAAATGCCTAATATTTCGTTAAGTACAAACGCATGTCATGTGAACTCTTACTAGAGCATTTTGTAGAGAAATTCCTTCTGTAATGAGCAATAACTCAGTAGAGATGTGATGATGTAAATATTGTCTGACTATTGATAGAGACACACCAGGTTTTACAGGTGGGGGTGGTGGATTGAATTCTGATAATACTATGTGCCAAATGTAAGCTCTACACCGATGGCACTTTCTTAGTGCTGGACATGAGTGTAACACAAACTCTAACACCAACCATAACACTCATCATTACGCAAAAGCCACTCTTTTCCCATTAATACCCCTCTCTCTGCCTACACAAACTGGCCTCGTTGAGATTTCTATAATGCCGGCAGAATAATGCTATTCCTCCCTTCTTCAAAATTTTACTTTCTATGTTGCTACTCCCAGAAAGTAAACGCTTCCATTCTAGGTGGGTGGCTGCCGCACATTACACGTGCTATCACTGAGAGAGAATGAGCTGACTGAGCTGCCTGCCAACCTGGGTCAGCTGGAGGAGCTCACAGTCCTGGATGTAGTTGGCAACAGGTGACACAGACTCCTAAGTTTTGCTAATTCTCACCGGGATTTAGTCTCTTTAGTTCTCTTTTTGAAATTTTAAGATGTGATAACCATCATCCCCATTGAGGACAGCAGTAATTTACTGTACTGTACAAGCACAGCGACTACTAGCATATCACACTACTGTATTACTGATTTGATAATGTCTGTGGTGTTGTTAAGTATCGTCAATATGATGTGACTATATATGCAGGTTGAATCACCTCCCTCTGAGTGTAAGCAACCTTCACTTGGATGCACTTTGGATTGATAACAGCCAGGTACTATCATACACCTGCATGCATTGCATTCATTAGCAGTCGAAATTATAACACGTGTAATCTGGTGGGCCACTGAGTCAGTATGCTCACTTGTATTATGTAAATTTTTCAAGCTAAGTGAAGTCTTACTGGAACCTTTTTGGGTATCATGATTATAGCAGAAGTCACAACTTGCACTGTGTCACAAAGTCTTGCAAATTAATGTGACATGTTGTTCACGTGTCAGCAGCAAAATTCGATCTTCATGGTGTGGCACAAAGCGATGCAGTGTGACTGGCATATCAGGGGTGCAATCTAACATTTTCCCCAACTGGCCAATAGGGCTAGTAAGCTCTCAATTCTACTAGCCCAATAGCTTTCACACTAGCCCAACACAGAATCCATTACACATCACCACAAACAGTGTCTTCATCTGACTGTCTAGTTGGAGGTTTACTGTACTCCTTCCCACATGGTTGTACAAAGCACACACCGTGCGTAAACTACATAGTACGCATGCGCGAAGATCAGACCCGCCCCCATGCGTCGCGTATTCGATCGCCAGTTCGCTGCGGCGAAGACGCTCTACTATAATATACCGAACTAAACCATGTTATTACAACTTAACTTCGCTATTACAACTCCACTAAGTCTGTCTTGGGGAATGCTAGTTCATATTCTTGTGTAACTAAAGCTACAACTTTGTAAATAGCAAGTTGGATTGTTATAGTGCAGCGATTTTCGGCTTTTGTTTTGATACTGTTGATGGCAAAACTACCAAACATACACAACACATCACAATGCATGAGGGTCAGAATTCCAGTACAAAACCTACATCACTAAGTACGTAAAGCAAAAAGTAGTAACTAGTAAAGTTTTGCCAAGTGTACATTATAATTAACCCTCGGCGCGCATGCGCAGCGAGGGTTACAGTACTTGGTTTGTCCGTACGTACGTCTGTGTCCTGTCCGGACCGTCTTAACCCTCGGCGCGCATGCGCAGCGAGGGTTGGTTTGTCAGTCTGTAGTTGTCCGTCTGTTACCACGTTTTCTGCCACCACGCGGTAAAATAGCGACACCAACGGGTTCAGCGCTACACTGGCTTGATTTTATCGATTTTCGTAAAAGTACCGCGTTGAGAAGTTATGGCGTGAAAACCAAGTGAACAAGCTTTATCTGTGTACCTCAGAGGCACAAGAAGTCACAACAAAGGGCGTGTATCGACTCCCGCATGCTATCTACTACTGTAGCTAGCCCGTGTCAGACTCTCCGCGAGCTACTAGCGGGAGATCACGGGTAAACGCAGACTAATAGGCCCAGCCCATCCATTAGAGGTATATACAGCTCATGCGCAGTTCGCCGAGGGTTTGCACTTTTTCATTATCAAAGTGAGAGCCCTTTGTGCGAGAATGCGAAACCATGCGCATGCAGGGGCCTCCTCGTAATTGATTGGCTGGTGTAGGTATAACTGCCATGCTTGGTAGGGAATAACAGTGTAGTATCACTAAGTACTAATAGGGATGGGCATGGTACCCATCATAGAAGTATGATAGGGTCATCTTCTCCTTCAGATTGAAATCGCATAACTCAAAAACGAAATAAACATAATAGTAATGAAAGTTTGTAAGAATGTACAGTAGATATCTGTCACCCGAAGAGACTGGTCATACTTCTTTGTTTCTAAACAACATTGTTTACTGTAAACAACAACAAATAGCCCCAGGCCATACATTATAATGGGATGACATGTGTCAGTATAACTCACTATTGGTAAGAGCTATGTGAACGAAGTTTGTATACATAATGTATTTAATAGCTAACATCAAAAGCACAACAATACATGTTTGTAAATAACAACAAATAGCCTCAGGCACTTTTCTTTAAATTTACTTCTTCACTCCTCAAACTTTCCAATGGTAGCACGCATAGAGATGAAACTTGGTATGTGTGCCTATTATATTATTTCCATGACGATCACATGCTTTCATGACGACCGCATATTGTTTGAAAAAGCCTCAGGCAATTTTCTTTAAAACTATATCTTCACTCTTCAAACTTGCTAACTATAGCACGCATGGAGGTAAAACTTGGTACATATGCATAATACATCGTTTCCATGACAACCACAACAACAAATAGCCTCAGGCACTTTTCTTTAAATTACTTATTTTCTCCTCAAACTCTAACGGTAGCACTCATTGAGATGAAACTTGGTCAGATATCGTTTTCATGACAACCACATAATTTTTTATCTGGACAACAACAAATAGCCTCAGGCATTTACTTCTTCACTCCTCAAACTTACTAACAGCAGCACATATGGAGATGAAACATGGTACCCATGCGTATGACATCATTTCCATGACGACAACAGGCATTTTTCTCTATTTTTAATTTTTATAGGGGACTTGCCTCCTTTCACAGATATAGACGTAGTAATACATAAAAATGAGTGGGGACAAGTAAATAAAAATTCCTGTGAATTTTAAAAAAGAAGGAATATAGGGGTGGTATAAAAGAAAAGGAGACAAGATATGGATGGCATATACGTAAGGAATAGCTTCAATACATGTACATTGTGAGGTATAGGGACACCACGACACAATCCCTATATTGTTGCCTAGGTGAAGTATATGCCTTGCGAGTTCACACCATAAGCACAACCATACACGGTGATACACATTGGAACTTGCATTCCACTAATGCACAAGTATATAAGGAGTGCTGCTGCCCTTTTTGAATAATGCAACACAAAATGCAAACCCGCTTGAAAGAGCAACTTACAGCTTCTTTTACAGATGTATATACATACCAGGCAACAATATAGGGATTGTGTCGTGGGCTCGGGGAGTGTCCCTATACCTTACAATGTACATGTATGGAAGCTATTCCTTACAAGTAAATAAAAATATTCTTCGAATTAAAAACGTTTGGAATATAGGGATGCCATAAAAAGCAAGGAGACAAGACAGGGATGACCTAGTGCGCATGTGATGCAGTAGTACAATGGATGATGGTTACATCTTCAAACTGACATTTCTTGCTCATGTAAATTTTACTCCACACAAGCCCTATATTGTCGCCACTCTTACTCATGACATGAGTTTTGAATAATGTAGTGTGAAGACTGGCAAACAAATTCTGTAGAGAAAGCACCATTGTAAAACTGGTTAGTTGAGCGAACGTTGAAGTAAATACAGTCATGATTCAAAACGGAGGACCTGTCAGAGAGGGCTTTTGCTTCCAGTCTTAAGTGCATAGGAAACTAGTCATAGCTGCACATCATACGATAGAGATCACTCGTGCTTTGCGACAATATAGGGCTTGTGTGGAGTAAAATTAGCATGAGCAAGAAATGTTGATGTAACTATCATCCATTGTACTACTGCACTAGGTCAACCCTGCCTTGTCTCCTTGCTTTTTATGGCATCCCTATATTCCAAACCTTTTAATTTACTTGTCTCCTTTCCTTTTTTACTGCATTCACATGCATGGTGTGCAATATAAAAGGGTTATATTTAGGCATAAGTAGTGGCCTTAAGCTATCGCCTCAGACATTTTGTCGTCATTCACATCAGTGCACCAAGTTTCATTGTGAGAGGACCCATCATAACCAAGTTATAGGCACTGACACCATTAAAAGTATTTTTTGCTTGAGGCTGTTTGTTGTTGTTTACAACCATGTAATTTCTGTTTCTCTTTATCATGGTACATCAGTGTACCAAGTTTCATTGTTATAGGACCCAAGTTAGAGGCACAGACACCATTTACAAGGTTTATTGCCTGACGGATGTTTGTTGTTGTTTACAAACTTGTAATGTTCACTAATGATTGGTTGCATGTGTGTACAAAGTTTTATCACTCTGGGTATTAGCTTTACTGAGCTAGAACACTTTATTTGTCTCTATCATAATGTATCGCCTGGGCCTATTTGTTGTTGTTTACATGTAAACAAAATTGCTTATGAAGAGATAAAAATGCTCTTGCACGACCTGTCATGGATTCCAATATCTGTGCAAAGTTTCATATCCATATCTTCCGGTTTTTTAGATATGCTTGTCTAAATTGAACAAAACAAGACTTTTTTTTGAATAAATCAAGTACTGATTATTAAATTTAAGGGATACATGCTCATTGTGACGATACGGATCAGTCTGATGTGTCAAAAGTTGGACCTGATTGAAACTGAAAGTCAAGCATGAAAATCTCATATGTATGAGTATAATGCATGATGACCTGCATCATCCCTATATACTAGTACTACCATACTTAGTGATATGCCATCCCTATCTTGTCTCCTTTTCTTTTTTATACCATCCCTATATTCCTTATTTTTTTAAATTCGCAGGATTTTTATTTATTATTATACACAGTGGATTGTAACTGCACTCTGCTCTGTAAACTCTAGTCTCAACCACTTGTGGCCTTACATCCTGACTTGGAGTCTGAGCCGTCTGTTAACAAGAAACTGACATGTGCATACCTCCCACAACAAGGCCCATACAGCCCAAGTCTAGGTTTGTCTGATGGTGTGTTGCGTGTGAGAGTGTGTTGTTTTTCTGGTGCAGTATGATAGACTAACAAGAACCCATTATTTTAAAACACACTTTTGCCGATGTGTTTACACTAATGTTAAGTATTATGTGCAATATGTTTTACTTAGTATTGTTTTTTGCTTTATGTGAAGTAGAAAACTTCATGGAGAGTGACAGCATGTCAGAGGGCCAGTCAGTGGCCAGCTCTCTGCCCAGAGACCTGGAGAAGAGCAGCTCCAGCAAAGTAGTCCGAATGGGAGTTGCCTTTGATCCCTCATCTGGACCCACTGAAACCGACCAGTCTTCAAAAGTAATAAACTGCTACAGTTACTAAATTGTGCTGATATGCATGTAAAAACATAATTACAATGACTTGCATCTCCTGAAACAGTTGGTGAGATTCCCCACCCCTTTTCGACGAGATATGAACAAAAAGAAAAAGAGGATGAACAAGTACAAGCCCGGAGCCACTCCTACTACCACAATCTTCAAAAAGGGAAGCTCGCAGGTGAGAGATAAATGCCATCGTCACAAATTGAAATACAACCTTATCAGTTACTTGAACAACAGTGATCATATGCATTTGCAGGATGATCTACTGTCTTCTTTATCATCCTCTACCCATGAGGCAAGTCCAGAGTCCAACCCTGCAATAAAATCATCTGTGGATTCCATGGAGGTAGCCTGTGTATTTGTGTGTCAATATAATATGCACACATGCAGAGATGAGTAAATGTGATTATGTACCATAAGGAAGTGTGCCAAAAGTGGTTTGGTCCATTTGTTGCGTACTTACTTGCATATACGGCAAGCTGGTGGGTGTAGCCCTTTGCTTTGCTTTGGTTGTTGACATGCATGTATGTATGTACCTGGGAAAGGCACATCTGCATAATATTAAGATGTAGATATGCATAATTCTATGCAGGTTGTTACGATGCAGATTGACGCCAGAAGAACCGAGTCTCCTGATGACAAAGAAATTCGTAAGCTTCATTTCTCTACTTGTGTACAGCCACTTCAGTGTTGATGATAAAACCAATGCCTTATGTATACATGGCAATACTCTTTGAGAAAAACCTTATGATAAAGTGTTTCTGTTGCACCTTGCAGTGTGAAGATGCTGTTACATGGATACATGGGTTTATCCTTGGCAAGCTTGAGGACATTCCCAATTACGTAGTGGGTTAGGTGCAGTTTTATGGGTGCTCACATGCTCGGTAATGTGTAGGTTGTAGGTGTGGAATTTGGCTAAACTACATCATGTATACCTTATACTGCTACTACACTTTGTGTAATGCATACCGAGGGGCATATACAGTGCAAGCGCACTAGTGTGTAGTATAGTTATACATGTTTCCCTGAGTCCTAGCCAAATTCTTTCTTAGCAGTAGCATTGTTTGCATACACTATGCCTCGTGTATATAAAGGTGGTACCCCTTGAGCCACTCTCAGTTGTGCGGTGGAGCTAGTTTGTAGCTGCAGTATAGCACTGCAATATATTACACTGAAAGTAAATTTAGCATGTTGTGTGTTCCTATATGTATGTTGTTCTTGCATTTTAGTGTAGCTAAAGTGAGATAGCTGCAGGTAGAAGATGAGTGAGCTAGATTTGAATGTCTGGTGCTGTGTGTAGGTCACACAAGCCCTGGCCTAGCTAAGATGTCTGGGATGCATAATCTTGCTAGTTCAGAGGCCCTGGACCAGAGCAAGGCAACTGATGAAACCTCTACTACTGTAAGTTACTTGTACACATGCACATTATTTGACCAAGATACAGTCTAGCCTAGCTTGTCAGTTTAGTTGGTCAAGTTTAGCGTGACCATGCTATTTTAGGCACTACAAATGTTTTCAGAGCTGTTGCACCTTCACTCACACATGAGTTGGGGCATACATGAACATGTACGTAAGTAACTGTGTGTCAAGACTAATAATGATGATGCTGTAGTATATGCCACATACAGTACCTATCAAGTCTGAAATCTGCTGCATTGATTATAGGCTGTAGAGAGCCTTTTGCAGTTTGCTGTGTGGGGGATGTGAGTGTTCATTGCTGACTCTAAATGGATTGTTTTGCATTTGGGGGTTTATCTTTCAGTAAACTGTTTTGAAAACTGTGTATTATAACATATGCAGAGCGATGCTCTAAAAGATGCAGAGTATTCGTATGCTACGGAGGTCTCAGGGTTGTCTCAGTTGCAGACTGTAGAGGTGAGCCAACAAGTTGTGACTTGTACATACATTGTATACACACTAGTAAATGTACTATATCTTGAGCCTTGGCTGTTAGTCATGTTATGGGGTTGGGCTGGATATGTTATGGGTAGTTTTGTGTGTGTGTTCTGTTTTCATGTTAGCCTAGTTCATGACTAGTGCACTTTTGCTGAGAAACTGCCCTACTATATAATTATTGCTGGGTGTGTTATCTGCTGCTGTATATGCGGTATGCAGGTGACTATAGACCTTGTGAAGCAGCCAGGGAGGACATTGGGTTTCTCCATAGCTGGAGGCAGAGGGTCTACCCCAGCCTATGAAGATGTAGATGAGGTAATCGAGTATGCTAATCACATATGTGTGTGTACCTTGTGTATCCCACCATTTCTCCATGCAGAGTATATTTGTGACTAAGATAGCAAGTGGTGGATTAGCAGAGCAGGATGGTAGGCTCAGGCTTGGAGATAAACTCCTCAAGGTGTGATAGATGTACAAGATGTATGTAAAGCTATATGTAAATTGCATACACACACTCGTAATATGTACTTGCATCATGTCCCTGAAATTAAACCGTCATTAAGATTGTGATCAAACAGGTTAACAGTGTGAACATGATGAATGCCACCCACACCGAGGCAGTGACAGTGCTCAAGAACGTGAAAGAGGTGTGCAGGATGGTAGTGTCACGGGAGGTTCTGGTGGTCATGCCAGAAGAGCAACTTGAGAAGACTGAAGGTAAGGACCTGTACAGAGGCAGGGTGGGGGAGGCTTACTACAAGTGTCGTATAATGAAGAAACACAAAACATGTTTTTGTGTAGCCTTTGGATATTGTAGAGTGTCCATGATTGATACGTGGCATACTATTATGCAGACCATGAGCATGATAATTGTACTCGGTATAAGGTTTTGTTACATTCTGCCAACAAAGTTATCTGATCAATAATCTGCAATGATTCCACCCTTCCCCCCACAATGTTCCATGTTGTGCTAGCTACAGTGATGAGCAGGTGTGCATAATTGGCGAGCGAAACAAGCCCACCTAGACTGATGTCTGAATTTAAATACAGCGGTCTAAAGGAAGCTTCACTCGATAAAAATGAGTTGCATTTATTAACCCTCAGCACGCATGTGCAGAGTACTTGGTTTGTAAGTGTGTCCGTCTGTCTGTCTGTTACCACGTTTTCTGCCACCACGTGCAAGAATTTGCCAAAGAGCGACTGTAACGGGTTCAGTGCTACACTGGTTTGATTTTTAAAAAGGTGATTTTCATAAAACTACTGTGTTCTAAGGTTGTGGTGTGAAAACTAAGTGAACAAGCCCATATGCTAATTAGCACAGGCTTGCCTCAACCGGTCCGCTTGCTCTGTGTATCTTGAAGGCACAAGAAGTCACAACGAAGGGCGTGTATCGACTCTAGAATGCTATCTATTACTGTAGCAAGACTCTCCGCGAGCTACTACAGAAAACCATTAGTAAATGCATAGCCCAGCCCATCAATTAGCGGCATCGCGCATGCACAGTTCGCCGAAGGTTTGCACTTTAGTGCTTTTCATTTTAGTCGTAGTTGCATTACTTTCAAAGATTTAACAGAATGGATATTCGACATTAACATATTGCTCTAATTGATAGACTCCCACACTCCGACTCCCACACGTGAGGATACAGCGACTGTGTCAGCTGTTGCTGTTGCTGGAGTACCCACCTCTGAGCTCTCAGATACTGGGGCCAGTGAGGAGGGAAGGGGCTTTGCCAAAAGGATTGTAGCTGAGATACTGGATCGCTCTGTAACCAAGTACCGCAGTTCATTAATAGAGGGTGATACGGACGCAGATAAGAAGGAGGAGAGTAGTAGATCAGACTCAGCTGGACCCAAGAGCAACTATGTAAACTTTGACATAGCCCAGACTGTGATAGTGTCCTCCAGAGAGGCTGGCCAGGAGGAGGAGGAAGAGAAGGCAGCTGCTAATGAGGATTTTGGAACTGAGGATAGGGAAGGGTCCAGGACACCTACTGGTTAGTAATTTGAAGTACTTGTTTGTAGTGCATATTCTGAAAGAGAGTGAGGCATAGAAAACTAAGTGGAAAGCAGTGTTTGTGGTTGCACTACATTATGTTATGGAATTTGGTTTGTCTGAACTATAATGTGCTTGTGTACAACTGGTTTTCACTGCAGAGGCCAACAGTTCTGTGCTGAGTCCAGATGATAGAGATACCTTACCTTCTCGCACCTCAGTCCCTGCTGTACATGTAATGGAGACAAGTTTTGATGAAGACGATTACCCAACTGAAGTACGTTCTGTAAATACACCTTCTGGATATTTGCTTGTCTGAACCCTGGCTTGAAGGATGCGTTTGGGAAACTGAATAGTTCAGACGACTTTAGCAGAGTGTAGAACCAACAGCAAAACGCCTACTAAATCCAATTTTTAGTTCCTAGAAAGCTAGGTTCATAGTTATGTGTGCAAGTGTGTGCTCAGTTGCAACTAAGAGATAGGATGAAATTTTTCACTCTTTTTTGCCCTGCTATTACGTCTCACATTACTCTGTTGTATGTATGTAGAAGGTAATCTTGGATCGTAGTGTGGGAAAACTAGGCCTCAGTATCATTGGGGGCTCTGAGCATGCCTCCAGGATATTCGGAGAGGGTCGACCTGGCGTGTACATATCTAAGGTCAGCCTTTCTCTCTCTGCGGATGGTGTACTGATAACATGTTCTTTGGCTACACAGATCACTGTTGGAGGTGCAGCAGATGCAAGCAAAATGCTCAGATTGGGGGATAGGATACTTTCTGTAAGATTTAGCTACAACTTGATTAGCCACAAACTTGAAGCTTTATGTGTAGGGTTGATCAATATATATATATATTTATTTATATAGGAAGTGCACAGAGAACAGTTGTTGCATTCCTTTTTCTCTGCATCTTTCACACAAACACTTTTATCAGGTGAATGGTCAGAATGTGCGCCACTCGACCCATCAGCAGGTGGTACAGTGGCTAGTGTCCCAGCAAGGAAACATCGAACTGCAAGTGCAGCATGTCCCTCAACCTGCTGGGCTAGAGGTGATTGTGAGTGCAGTGTGTGCGTAATGGATACATTAGCAAACACAAAGTTTATTCTTGTGAATCCACACAGCTGTTCTTTTACAAAAAAAAGTGAAGGATAAACTTTTTTGTTTTCTTTCATTTGTACATCATCGATGAGTAAATACCGTACCACAGACTGTGTTTGTGTGACTGTTTTCAGTATATCTGGGGTGTATGTCTACCCTAGGTTATAGTGATAAAGAAATCTGCTTCTGCCAAATTGGGTGTCAGTATCAAGGGAGGGACCAAATCCACCATGGGAAACCCTCTTGACTCAAACGACAAAGGAATATTTGTATCAAAGGTATATACTATGTATGTATATAGTACAGAGTGTATTAGTGTAGTAGCAAGCAAATCTCATATATATGTACTTGCGTATTGCATGGTTGTCCCAGTAAGTTGCAGCCTAGTGAGGGAGCAATGACTCAGCAATCACATGTTCCTTGTGCACTCACAGTACAGACCATATAGCGTAAACCATGTCTATTACTGCATGCACTAGATCACGGCCAAAGGTGCGGTGGAGAAAGATGGTCGGCTGAAGGTCGGGCAGAGGATCCTGGAGATCAATGGAACCTCTCTGCTTGGAGCAACACATATTGTTGCAGTGAGAGCCTTGCGAAGCAACCCCATGGAGGTATCCCTACTTGTGTGCGATGGCTACGACCCAAGGGAGGTGGTTCGTAGGGAGAAGGAACAAGAAAGGCTTAGCATCGGCAGCAATGCCAGTGCGACACTGGACACTTCCAGTCTCAGCAGTGAAGGTGAGCATCTAGTGCACTCTCAGTGTTGTAGGCATTCACATTGTTCCCCTCCCCATGTTCCTACACCTAAAGTGCAGTTTTTGTGTGCTAGCGCCAACAAGACAAAAACCAAGGGTACACATAGTAAACTGCCCGAAAAGGGTGGCAGCAAAAGCACTAAACCAGAGCCACATCATGTCAATCAGAAATGTGTGTTTACCTAACAGCTGTACTGCTATCTTGTAACAATACTACTATTTTTAACCCTTGGCGCACATGCGCAGCGAGGGTTACAGTACTTGGTCTGTCCGTTTGTCTACGCTTATTCTCGCACTACGGGCCACGAGGCGGCCTATGAGCGATACCAGCAGCTTCAGAGCAACGAAAGCATGAAAAGTAAAGAGGTGATTTTCCTCAAACGAGTGTGTTTTAGAGATATGGCATGAAAACAAACCAACATGCACATACGCGAGTGCATGTTGACTGGCGCGCATGCATCATGTCAGTGTTTTGCCGGAGTATGCGCATGATTTCGAATCGTGATGCAGGCAAAGAGAGTGTATCCTTGTTGTCTATGCCAGCTAGGGTTAGTTGTGTCGACCCCTATTCTGGTGCTAGAGGTTACGAGGCAGCCTATGAGTGATACCAACGGCTTCAGGGCTATGAGGGCATGAAAAAGAAAAAGGCTGAAATGACTGCATTGACTGGAGACATTATTATGATGTGGAAACAAGTGAGAAAGCCAGTATGCATGGATTACGTCGACCAGGTTTAGCCCGCTCAGCGCATCGTGGAGGGATGTGTGTGCAGTCCAGCATTGTCGCTACCCACTGATGCAACTAGCCTGTGTTATGGGGAGAAACTGGCTCCGTTGACGATGCATGGCCCAGCCCATCTAGCTTACGTCAATGCTACAATGTTTGCGTTTTGCGCCGAGGTTTTGCACTTTAGTTCTTTACTCAATTGCACTGTATGACTTTTTTCTTCTACTTAGCATCGCGATCATTGGATGATGCTGTCCGGATTCTAAGTGAGAGCATGGATGCCCTACATACGATGCCATATGTGAGTGTATATCAAGACCAAGATAATGGTTTAATCTGGCAGCATACTGTACATGTTGCAATACTAAAATCGTTTTGATTGGAAAGTGCACATGCACGTGTACTGTATGGCGGTAAACTTAACTTTTATATTCGTTGCTTGCCGGTCTTACAAAACACTATGTATACACGAGCTATAGGAGGTCTCTTAAAGTAGTAACTTAAGAGTCCTAGATTACTGGCTGTCTGTATGCTTCCCAGGAAACATTCTAGAAAAATAGTGATTCTGAAAGTGTTTTAGTGTTGGCAGATATCCACTCTGCACACATGTACGTACATAGCTTGTATCATTAACAGTGTGCGATCTCTGCAGATTATGCGTGGAATTATGTATGTACACAGGCATGGATGTGTGCACCTAACAATATAGCTACTCACCTTGTTAGGACTGTGCAGCTTGGCTAGCCTGGCATTCATGAATCGTTTCGTAATGTGCATGTGACCTCTGTACCCTGGTGGTTCTGCTTCGTAATGTTAAAATGTAAAAAAAAACTATGTACCTTTTACTTGCCTCAGGCTTCAGTGAGGCTGAGTTCCAAACTGAGTCAGAGCTCAGCTGCCATTGTTGATCACAGACCAGTGACTGCAGAGGATCTGGATGATGTTCTTAAAGACCTTGCTGAATTCAACATGGGGACTTCTAGGTCAATGAAATTTATGGGGTGTGACTATTTATGTACATTTAATTATCTGTTTTTCAGTAAGGAAACTCCAGACACCTCCACACCTGTACCTGCTTCAGAATCACCTGCTCCTCCTCTTTTTGTGGATTTCACTTCTGCCCTCACATCTGAACTTTATCCATTGCAAAGCGGAGATCAGCTCCCCCTTGGATTACTAGGAGACGACACTCCAAGTAAACAACCTACTACGTACTTCCAAGTCTAATAGTGTAAAAATGTCAGGGAGCATGTGTTAGTAGAGTCTCAGTGTTTGTTCAGTCATGAATGTGTATGTCAATAGTGTGTAAGACAAGTAGCTGCTGTCAGCACATTGGTTTAGTGTTACGTACATAATATTGGGACTGTGCAGAACCATGCGAGTCGGAAAAGGAGAGTGCTGTGGACGAGACAGAAGAGTTTCCTCAGGTTCAGGTGGAGGACACCAGTAGCTACCTAGACCAGTTGGACAGTGAGGTCTCTCATTTGGTAAGGAGAATGGGCTATATACCAAGTCAAGTATAAGATTGTTACTTGCTTAGGTATGCGTAAACCATTAAGCAATGCATTAAGTAGGGTTTCTACACAAGTTTCCTTACCCTAAGATAGTGCACTCTTTAATAAACATCTCTATTATCATTATTGTTGTTATTCTGATGCAGCAAGATGAAGTTTTGGAAGAGGAAAACCGTCTGGAGGAGGAAGGAAAGGAAGAAAAGACAGAAGAGGTGTGTAAAGAACACTACAGTGTATGATTTTATTGTCCACTCATTTTTGCAGCCCCAAGGTCGCCGCCTTACTTCCCAGCGCAGTATGCCCCGGATCCCTGTAGCAGAACCTAATGTGCAACTTACTCCAGAGACCAAGCGCAGAATCATGAAAGAAATTGAAATTAATGTATGTTTGTAAATAACCTGTGAATGTACATATGTAGGTGTTTCAATGTTAGTCAACATTCTTGCAATTGCCTTCAAGTTAACTGTATGTATGCTTTCCATCTTTGCACAAGCATTCTACATCTTGTATAATTACTTCCTGTTGCTATTTGAAGAAAACTTCTCTCTCATCTTTTACTATGGCCCATAATGGTGTGCAGGCATGATAATTCTATATACGTATAATAGTTGTGTGTGCGTGGGATGTTAGCGGTTTTTTACCGTGAGTTCCTGGAGATCGTTTTTATGACGAAGGGTTCAAAGGTTGATGGGTGGGAAGCCCCACCCTTCTTGTTAATGCCTACGAGGCAAGAGCTGTCTATGTGAGTATACGGAGGCGCTAGCACCGTCTTCTCGACTATACTAAAGTTGCGCGAATATGCGTCTATGACGGTTAATCGGTTAAAATTTTACGTTTTAATGAAGGTGGAATCCCCAAAAGATGAAGGCCAGAAGAAAGAGGTATGCCTCTTATTTAACTCTCTTATTATTGCAGCATTATAATAATATTATCATTATCTTTGTTTCAGGCTATGGATACATTAATTGGAGAGGTTTTTGATGAGGTATCATTTGATGAGTTTGAAGAGGTAAGGCTCTATCAGACTCTCAGTCTGCAGTCTACCTCTTTTCTTTACCAATCTAGCAGCGCTCAGGGAGGTCTTCAGGTCGCATTAGTGGAAGCCTCACTCCCACTACCGTAAGGCCAGCTTCTGGCCAGTGGGCCTCTACTGATATGACTGAGCTACTGTCTGCACTAAATGCCGTTGGTAGGCAACAGGTAAGCAAGTTATTGTATTTCAAGTACACTGTAAATCTATCAGGTGTCTTCTGCCAGGCCGATAAAATGTTTTTGTTGACCAAAATTCGTAATAATTGCATATCATAAAGCTATTGGGGGGTAAAAAGCATACTGTTTGTTAAATATTATACTGTGGCACATGTACAAGAGATCAACTGACCCCAGACAGATCTCCTGCATTTTGTCAACTATTAATTAAGGATCTTTATCTTATACATTCTAATTATGATTTCTGTAGACTGTTGCATGTCTTACACTGGCCCATCATAAACCATTTTTGTCTTTTGTTTGTACATACATGTAGAATAATTAGCAAATACTATACACTGCGTATGTGCAACTCGTTCTGTAGGCACGAGTTGAGGTTGCTCCAGCAGTCCCAGTTGTGAAACTTGTTGCAGAAACCCAAGAGACACGAGACACAGTATGACATGATTATCAAGTGGAAAAAATGACAGTTTCCTCTAGAAAGATTGGCAATGTCCTAGCCATAGATTAACTGGCCTAATACAAAGTATAGGCCCTATTTTACCAGTAGTCAATATTATTACCCATCCACAGTGAGTTAATAAGGCATTCCCCACTAGACTACAATGGTTGTGACTGACACATTCAGACTAATGTTTTTTTGTGTGCATGTCGCCACCCTTTTAGGTAAAGCTGGAAGCTGCCCCACCAGTTAGCAGTGTGTCTCTCTCAGCAAATACAGATGACAGAAAGGTGACTTTTCATGATTTCAAGATTGTTCTGCTTATCCTCCCCCTTGTCTCTGCAGTCCCAAACACTAACGCCAGCATCAAACACACACGGAGTTTTACTTCGTGCTGAACCTGGCAATAAGGATCCAACTATGAGGAAATCCGGTTAGCTGTAGTGTGTATCATAGAATATCTTCAGTGTGCATCCAAGGGGCGGCATAGAAAATTCGGCAGGTCCAACAATACTGTACATAAATACTAGAACAGTTGCACATTTTAGGGACTTGTGGAGATGGGGCTGTGTTGCTGTGATCAAACAGATCAAGGACGCAGCCACTGTTCACACACGTACTAGGCATTCAATAGGGAAGTCAACATGCGCAGTTCCACACACAAAATAAGCAAATTGACGCCTAAATCCTGCGGATGAAACACCATATGTACTGCAGACAAAACTTTCGCCACAGAACTGGTATCCATTTGAATTTTATCCATCTGCAGCTCCTCCTAAGGTTGCAGAAAAGCCTGTGCATGTTGATCCAGACAAGCTCTCTTTTAAAGAGAAGCTAGCACTGCACAAGAGGACATTGGAGGAGCATAGTGACTCTGCTGTGAAACCTCTCCTACGACCATCGAGCTCTCAGGGAGGGTATAGAAGGCCAACTACTCCTGAACTAACTGTGAGTAGGGCATCAGATCAGGCCACTTCTACAGATGATACTGGCTCTAAAGGTTTGCAGCAAAACTTGTGCTGCCCTTAGTGTTATGTGATTCTTCCTGTATATTTCAACAGTGAGTAGGGCATCTGAACAGGCTACTCCTTTAGATGATACCAGCTCTGAAGGTTAGCTTTATGCTTTTGCTGTGACATCCTGTGATTAATGCACCTGCTTCCATTTGGAGTTGGGCGTCTTTTATGGTTCAATTACCCCGTTAACCTGGCTAAATCACTTACCCATGTAAGAGAGGGATGTCCAGTAATGCCACAAAACAGGAAGTGACGTCAGCGTTTTCACTGCCTCCGTCGTAGCCCTTGCCCTTACCCTATACCATACTATGTATTGAGGGTAAGAGGAGGCTGCATGTGCAGTAGTACAGGAATGCATGAAAATCCGCAGCCGTGGGTCTCTGGATATCTGCTCTTACATCTTCTTGTTCCAAGTTTCTGTGCAACAGAAGGTTTCCTTCGCCTTGTGTGTTGCGTTGTATTGCGTTGTATTGCACAATTCGAGCCCAGCCTGCTGACCTGCCTTAGTAGAGCATTTCCAAAGAGTTTCGTGGGTTCAAGTTCCACATCTTCGTTGTCAGTAGGTGTCATTAAAATATTTGCCTTATTTTTGCATATAGCTACCCCACATTTTATGCTATTACAGAGTGTATTTCTCCGAAATTGACTGAAGAACAGCTTTCAGCTGAAGAGAGAAGACTAAACAGAATAGTTAATAGACCTGCAAAGGTATGGGGTCTGGTGAACACAGTCTTGTTAACTCTTGTTATGTAGCGCCATTCCAAACTGAAAGTGAAAGTACGCTTTGCTACATCTTGTTTTAGGAGACTGAATTGCTGAAAATTCACCTTTCATAATCATGAGCACACGTTTATTTACATGATATCCACCTTTTTACCTACAGTATCAGGTAACTCCTACAACATCCACTGTTGAGCAAAATGGAGAAACTCCCACCATTAAAACTACTACCATCCACATTGCTCAAAACACGGGATTGAGCACGAACACCAACAACAATAACAGTAATGCTTCCGATAGTGCCAGCCACTGTGGACTATCTGCATCTCCTGTATCCTACACCCCTCAAGTACATCCTCCAGTAACATTTATCACAAGACAAAACGTACAGGAGCGAGAAAAAACAAAGACATGGAGGGACCATACAGAACTGCAGAGTCAGAAAAAAGTTGGACTTGAATCCAAAATTGCTGCCGACAAACCCAGCTCAGACACATTGTAGTGAGCATAACACATATAATAGTGGTATATAGATCTAAGTGTATTTATGGAAAAGTTACTGATTTTTATAATCCATTTGATTAGCTCTGATTGTAGTGCAACTGTTACAGTCAACATTTGCATTAATATTTTTATTGCTTGTGCTACTTAGATACTTGATACATTTTTTGTCTGCCATTTTTCAGTATCTGCACAGAATTATTTTAAACTCACCCCAACTTTTTTCTTTAATCGTTATAGCATTATTAGGAGCATGAGCATTGTGCATTACTGCTATTACCAATTACAACTTCACGAATAGTACAGAAAAGTGCATTCAGATCATGCACTTTACCACCCTTATGGAAGAATCTCATAGGATACATACATATCTAGTCTCGGTACCAGTCCCTCTTACAAAGTTGTAGTCAAGTGGGGTTTGAAGAAAAATTGCGCAATACACCTACCATTAGGAAGCTCGAGCGGTACGCAAAAACTTGAGAGTCACTTCTACCCCCATATTATTCTGGGCGTGCCCAGAACAATGTACTAGGGCAGTTCATAACCTCCCTTCTGAGAGTCCTGGTACCGAGACTATCAGCTAACTAAAACATGGCATCAGCTTACAAAAATGTTTTTTAGATCCAGTCTTGCAAGAGAATCTGCAATGTTATTGTAGTAAAAACAGCCATAATGGGCTTTGATCTTTATTGCAACAGGCCAAACAAATACATGACTGCTTATCCCTTTCGGTCACAAAATGTTGTAAAATTACACACTTCCAGAAACGTCAAGAAAACTTGCACATTTGTGAACTTTGACCCGTTAAGCAGGCGGCATGGGCATGGCGGCATTATCTCATACAAACCACCCACGCATCCTCAGAAGTGGTCGGTCGGCACTTGGATGTGGCAGTCGGAGCTTTGATGTTGCTTTCATCTACCCTTTCAGTACTCTAAAAAAAAACCAACAAGGTCCGGATTGAGTGAGACATGTCTGAGCAGGCTGAAAGGCAAGCACAGAGGCTGTGCGTAGGTCTGTAAAACGGCAGAAAGAAAGATCGCCACAGCGCGCGTGCGCGGGATGAAAGGGGTGTGTTGATTCGGACAGAATGACGCATGCGTGCAGGAGAGTTGCTGGAAAACGCCGATCGGGCGCAGAAGCCGAATTCGTGACTGAAAGAGTTATACATTAGGTTTCTATAAAATAAAATAAAACATGTTCATGTGTACCCCATGAGTAGTTGATAGAGCCACTAAACTCTAGCCTGTGGTTTGAAAAGCATCCCTTGCACATAGGTATGAAGAACTGCCCTTTTCTGACATTTCATAGCACAACTTTACAACTGGGAAGTGAGTATATTGTCTGACCCTCCCCACATGTGCTTTTCTGTGTACTTTAAACACGCAGCTCACATGTAAATGGAGGCATACTATTTTTTTAATGTTTATGGAGTGTGACAAAGACTAATGGCTGTTAACTCGGTTACATGCTACTGTTCTTGATCTTGAACGAAGACACAGTGTCTTTCCCAGAATTAAAAAGCCAAATGGTCACTAGAAAGCTGGAATTCATGGTGTTGGCCCGTGTTTCACTCGTGCTAAATGACTCAATGCTTGAAGAGCCAGTTGATTGAATGTCAACCATAAGCACAAGGTGCTCGTTCTTTTGCTGTTTCTTTGGAAAGTGTTGCCGTGAGTGTCATTGATTGCACTTGTTTACTTATGATTCACGGCAGATGGAAATTAAAAATCAATTAATAAACCCTCAGTATGATCATGGCATAAAGCGCTGTCCTTTGTCATAAGCTGTAGGTTTGTCAATCCTGAATAAAGTGTGTGCTGGCTATTATTGGTGGCTTCAGGTGCTACAATGGAGGAACGCTAAGAGTGGTTGAAGTGTGGGCATGGGCTGCCAGCATTCTCTACACTTTTGTGCTGCATTGTTAAATATTGTTTGTACGTAGTCACTGAATGATGGTGCAAGTCAGTGTACATCTGCATCAACAAGTAAGCAACTCAGATGCGGATTCACTCTGTCTTCTCACTGCATTATAATTATGTGAAGTGTCAAAGAGAAATGTGCCGAGTGTACGTACATGCAGAATCATCGTTAACATAACAATATATTCACTCTACATGCTACCTGAAGGTAGCGATGATTTTGAGCACTACTAGTGGTCCTCAAATTATACCTCGACAGTATGTGCAACAGGAAAAACAGGTCTAGTCTTTGTAGTCTGAAGCCTTACAACAGATAGTACGGGCGTGGCCTCTCAGTTATAAAACCTACAAATCCTAAGTGGAAAAATAGAGCACTGTAGAAAAGTTTAAATGTAAGCCGCAGAGGTCAAGCCTCTGTCAGAAGCGCTTTCTATGATCGGGCTGCTGACGCCAAACATTTTAATTCCGTGCTCATCGATTGGCTAAATCTCGAGAGCGTTCTTGTAGCACTCAGCAATGCCTCAAGCGCGTCCTTGTGCCTGGCTAGCGACTACAAACTAGTTAAAGCACCGTTTTTGCTCGTACTCTATTGGACTTTTGGAAAATGTGCACTCTCGCTGCGCGCCCATGCTAAAAGACCTTATCACTGTTGTTAACATTTGCAACGCAGCATTTTGAGGAAAATCTATCACTGGTTTGCCTCTGCTATGTCTGTAGAGCTAGCATACAGCCAGACACACAAACAAACTATTACCTTCACTATGTAATTCCGCTCTCTAAATGGGGCTAACTCAAGCTTGAGAAAATAATAGGAATATTATAGTATACCACAACACAAAGAAGAAAGTGTGAATAAAACAATGAGAAGTGTGATTGTTCGGATATGATATATATAAGCAAAATGCTCTTCAATAGTATGTCTTACTGAGACCAGGTATGTAAAAACGGTAGTGTAACTGATGAACAATTTACACACACCATTCCAGCAGTAAACATGCTCTGAAGAGAGAAATAAAATAAGAAGACATCACTGTAGTCATGGAAACACAAAAAATAAGTGAACTGGGTGGACTGGACGTGTGGACTCGCATAACCTTTCAGACAGGTTTTACAGCATATCTCGAATGGCTCTGGACATTACACCAGGTTACTAGCAGCAGTTCATAAGTACTGGCGCAGGTTAGTATGCACGGTCAACCTATGCCAACATTTTGGCTAGCCTCGTGGAGCCATGCATTCTCGGGAGAGGAGAAGGCCTGGTGAACTGCCTCCCACTTGTTCCTCAGGAATGTTTTGTCACGTTATCATGAACTGCAATATCGTAACATTGTGTAAAAAGCTGACATTACGTGGGGGTGTGCGTGTACTACACCACTCGATCAAGAGTCTCAGTCTAGGTTTTTGCCAGTGCTAACGACTCCACGGTGTACCGAGAGTTGCTGTAGAGTCTCTTTGACTCAGAGTCCTACCCACAGCCGGCGCCAGAGAGAGCGAGTATGGGAAGAGTCTAGTTAGTGACACGGTACCCTCAGACTTCAGACACACTGTCTGTAACTGGGGTCTGGGGTTAGGCAACCTTGCACACTTCTTACTGGGGAAAAAGACTCAAGTGCAGTAGAGGATTTGGGTCAAAAACAGCAAGAAGACAGCGCAAACCAATCACGTTCCACGCGACAACCAAAAATGTGTGGGCGATTTACGTGACGTAGCCATGTACGGCAGCGTAGAGGCAGTTTGGACATACGTACAATACTACATAGTGACACTCGTGTGAACAAGTGGCACTGCAATGCTACGAGATTGATTTGGAAACGCAGTCATGTCTTGTCTCTCACTCACACAATAACAGTCCAGCATACTGGCCATAACAGAGGAGCAGAGCAGCTTTCAATCCTGTATCAAAAGCGCAAAAGTTTTTCGTAAGAGCCCATAGTGCTCACCAACGACTTTTAGTACCTACTAGCCATGTTACACTGACAGAAGACGTGATGTTCTGTGCTTTTGGATGAAAGGTAGCTTTGAGTAAGACTGGTGTGAAAAAAGAGAGAGACTGCTTGACCTGTGGAGATGTCACTGACCATCCCAGCTCACTACAGGCAAGAGAGGCTGATGTCTCGGCAGATCCAACTGTTGCACTCGCTCCATGTCTGTCATGCCACATGAACTCAATTCACAGGGGAAGTAACCATGTCTGCGTGAACCCCCTTCATCATCTTTTACTTGTGTCCACCTGGTTCCAGTATGATTTGATGTTCTGTATGTACATTCGGTCACTAAAGAAGTGGTTGACGGTGATGTATTGGGCCTCTAGCTACAAGCAGCCTACTGTTCGCAGAAGACAATGATCCGAGTGTCGCTGTGTTAGCCATGTAATGACTGCTGATCGATACTTATGTACTTTTGCTTTTGTGCTTGAAAAGGGAGTCATCAACCTGCACGATGACTACTGGGCATCCAAGTGTAAGTGGTACATCTATGTTGAGGAGACGCCAGCTGCAGATATCGGTACTGGTACATCTGGACTGAATTCTTCTGCTCCACCTTTGCCACCCGAACAGCATCTGTCACTTGGTACTGGCGTACCAACCAGTAGACAATAAACTGCCTCAGTGAGATTTTATTCTTCAAAGACTGTCTTATCTCGCAGCCCAGCTGACTCATAGCAATTGTAAACTGAGCAATTCAACCACTGGTGTTTTGCACTGCGTTAGAGCATAATATTATAGTTGTACTGGTTAGTTGTTACTCTGCAACTCAATTGGCTGGTTGTGAAAGGGGCAGTTATTGGTCCTAACTACGTATGAGACCTGCATTTTGACTCTATCGATTAGTATACTTAACCTGTGCAACGGTGCCATTGAAGTAATTGTATTTTTCGGCATTCTTGATGTTCCCTTATCCCATGCTGCAGAACAGGAAGTAGTCCCTCCTGAGTGTGTTGAGATTTCTAGGAAGTTTGGGACCACAGTCAGATAGAGCTACTTGTATCGTTGTGTGACAATACCGACAGCAATGCCTGCCTGTAAGCAGTTAAGAACTTGAATTTTAAGGACCACTTGCTCCAGGAATTCCATACATTTTGCTAAAAAAAACACAGTGGTTCCTGTATGGGTGTGTGTGTTTATGATTATCTTGAGGTGGGGGCCCCACTTGACCCCTCCCACTCTGAACTACATCTCATTTAATGTTCCATTGTGCCACGTAAGCCTTTAAGCCCCATACTTTTTGCAGCCATTGTATGTTGTTCAGAAAAAAAGAAAACTACCTTTCATTCAGTTGCAGGTGTTGAAAGATGATGGCCTGCACATTCACCAGCGGTCTGGGACTGAGATCTGTAAAGAAGCTTCATCCTGTACGTAGCTACCTATCATCTCCTCAGAGAGCCTGTGCTGTATCATTTTGCTAGGGATGATGACACCACAGGCATTGTATCACCAATGATACAGGCATGCAGTAATCAATTGTTTACTGTCACATGATGTTTGTTCCACGGAAGAACAGGCTTACTTTCATTGCAAGTGACTCTTTAGCAACTCTGAAGTCCCAGAATCTCCCTTCCCTCCTTGCTCAGCATGCCTCTTAGGTGTTGCTGTGCTGCCTCTCCTCCTCCACTCACAGTGCCATGTAAGCCTTTCAGCCCCATAATTTTTGCAGCCATTGTATGTTGTTCAGAAAAAAGAAAACTACCTCTTCTTTAGTTGCAGGTGTTGAAAGATGTGAAAGAGATGGCATTGGCCTGCACATTCACCAGTGGTCTGGGACGGAGATCTTTACCCCTGTCTCAGGGGAAAGGTAAAAGAAGCTTCATCCTCTAGGTAGTTGTTACCTATCATCTCCTGAGAGAGCCTGCACTGCTTCCTTTTGCTAGGGATGATGACAACCACAGGGATTGTATCACAGGCATGCAGTAATCCATTGTTGATTTATTACCGTCGCATGATTTCCTGTTTGTTCCACGGAATAACAGGCTTACTTTCATTGCAAGTGACTCTTTAGCAACTCTGAAGTCTCAGAATCTCCCTTCCCTCCTTGTTCAGCTTGCCCCTCAGGTGTTGCTGTGCTGCCTCTCCTCCTCCACTCACAGCCTGACGTACTTCTGCCAACTTGAAGCTGCGCCACCTCTTGGTCTTCGCCGATGCATCCAGACTGGACACTCATGATCGGGACACTTTCACCAGGCTCAAAGGCATAGGCGCAATGATTCATGCGTACTATTGTGTATAAACCTGTCCCTTTGTAGTGTTACGATATCACTTGAGGGGGAGGTGCTGAGTATACTGTTTGCAACTGCTGGTGCCTATTGTTCCTCATTGGTTGGGTTGGGGGTGTGGGGTGTATTTGATGGTTCAAGAGGATTTGAGTGATGGTGAGATCTGATGGTGGCTGAACGGCAAAGAGGTACAGTTACTCTCACAGGTGACGAGAGTTGATCTGTGCATCATCAGTGCTGCATGAAGGGGAAACTTGCTTGTCAATGACACCGTTGAGGCATGTACATTTTCTGCAACTTGTCTCTACTGGTGGACACATGCAGCATTGCAGGTCCTCTACTTGGGGACCTGTACCAGGCGGACAGGGATTAAAGAGAGCTGGTTGGAGTTGGTAAGGAGCATCCCCAACAACCAATGTCCATTTCTTTGGCCTACACCAACTCTTTTTTGGCCGACCTCCTACCGACTGCCTCCAAAAAATGTACGCATGTGCTGTAGCCATTGTTGTCATGTGCCTGCCAGTCGAGATGTGCTGTTACACTATTAGCCTTTCTTGTAATTAACCCTCGGCGCGCATGTGCAGCGAGGGTTACTGTAGTTACCCTCGGCGCGCATGCGCAGCGAGGGTACTGTAGTTGGGTTTGTCTGTGTGTCTGTTACTCTCAATCTCACTTCTCGAATGTCTGTTCGTCTCACAAACGATACGACCTACTTAACGGGCAATGAAGGTCAGAAATTATGAGCGGTTTTCTCTGAAAAATGCTTCGTTACAGAGCTACAGCGCTTCCACCATTGTACGGCTAATGCTAGTCGGCCATTTTTATCGCTGCGGAAAAGGTGCATGCACTTATATTTTCAACAGGCTCGGGTCCGCTTGCTCTGTGTATCTTGAAGGCACGATAAGTCACAACGAAGGGCGTGTATCGACTCCCACATGCTATCTACTACTGTAACTAGCCCGTGTCAGACGCTACTAGCGGGAGACCACGAGTATACTACATACTAATAGCAGCCCAGCCCATCAATTAGCGGTACCGCGCATGCCCAGTTCGCCGAGGGTTTGCACTTTAGTGCTTTTCATTGGGTCTGTGTGTGTGTCTGTCTGTTACTCTTCATCTCACTTCTCGAGTGTTCTTTCGTCTCACAAACGATACGACTTACTTAACGGCCAATGAAGGTCAGAAATTTTGTGCGGTTTTCTCTGAAAATGCTCTGTTGCAAAGCTAGAGCGCTTCCACCATTGTACGGCTAATGCGTAGTCGGCCATTTTTATCGTTGCGGAAAACGCGCATGCGCTTATAGTTTGAACAGGCTTTAACCTCGACCGGGCCGCTTGGTCTGTGTATCTTGAAGGGCATAAGAAGTCACAACGAAGGGCGTGTGTCGACTCCCGCATGCTATCTACTACTTTAGCTAGTCCGTGTCAGACTCTCCGCGAGCTACTAGCGTAGATACCACGAGTAAACGCACACTAAAAGCCCAGCCCATCAATTAGTGGTACCGCACGTGCACAGTTTGCCGAGGGTTTGCACTTCAGTGCTTTTCATTTTCTCTTTGCAATGAGGCACACGGGTTAATTCTGGGTCTGGCGAGCGAGCATGACCAGTACAATAGCTCGTGTGTGTTTTGCACATATTTAGAACCACGTAGAACATTATAGTATGTGCAGCGCCCGACAGAGCCAAATATATATAGAAAATTCCCGCATTGAACATTATGGTATGTGCTGTGCCCGATAGTCTTCACACATTAAAAATTCCCGCATTGAAACGACTATTCGAGGCATGCGAGGCATAATTTGCAAGTCCACTTAGTCTATTCAAGTCCACTGGTTCAGTCTAGTGATTGTGAGTACAAAATGTGCAGGTTACCTCTTTAATACATGGGCTGGGCTATGCTTCTCGTGGTTTCTCACAATCTTGCTAAGAGTCTAGGGGCTACATACACAAGCTAGCGGAACCTGGTTGAGCATGTTAGCTTGTTAGCAGTGTAGTGTCCAATCCGCAGGTATCACTTTCTAGCAAACTTGTTGCATGTGGTGGCATAACAGACAGACGGACACACAAAACAAGTATATACGTACCAGCACATGGGTGCAGCTGCAATGAAAAGCACTTAATTAAGTGCAAACCTTCGCCGCACTGTGAATGACTGTGCGATACCGCTAATTGATGGGTTGAGCCAAGAGCTCACTCGTAGTCTCCATGCTAGTAGCTCGTGGAGAGTCTGACATGGGCTAGCTACTAGTAGATAGCATGCGGGAGTCGATACATGCACTTCGTTGAGACTTCTTGTGCCTCCAAGGTAGAGAGAGTGGACCAGGTGGAGGTAAGCTAGCGCGGTTATGCATAATTATTGGCTTTTTAGCTTGTTTTCATGGCATATCTCTCGAATGCAGTTATTTCAGGAAAATCGCCTGAACCTGTTGGTATTGCTCATAGGCTGCCTCATAGCCTGTAGTGCCAGAATAAGTGTCGACACACAGACAGACACACCAAGTACTGTAACCCTCAATGTGCATGCAAAACATAAATGCATGCATGCGTACCTGCCCAGTGACTTTGAGTGAAAGTGACTGAAGATGGAGTGGAGGGTATGGATTATGTAACTGACAAACACTGCATATTCCACCAGACTAGACAAAAAGACGGTAAGAGTATTTAGATCAAAACAACATGAAAATCAGCCATGACTATGTTAAACAGCTTAAAAATAGCTAGGACCTTTCAAAGTCAAGTCTAGTATGGCAGGACTTACCCTTCCAAAAGTTATAATTTCCCCCCGAGAAAAACGTCTGCAGTAGGCACCACAAACAAACAATAAGCACAAAAGAAGCACTTTCTTAATGCAAGTAGCCAAACTTGAAAAGATGATTCGGGGCCTTCTTTTACTTGTTAGTATAATGTGTCCAGTTCAAAGTATGCAGAGGCAATTATTGGATGTGCGTAGCAACTGTGATTTCACATCATGCATTATGCTTAATAGCTATTATCACGGCACAGCGTCTTGCAATTCTCCACAGGGTGTCCTAAAAGTGCATTAGACACAAACTGACCATTTCAGAGTGTTCCACTGAAGGATAAACAAAGTGTTCCTGCAGGGATATATCATAATCCGCAAATTTTTACTTGCATTTTCCATAATATTTGTGTGATAGTTACACACTGGTATGTATATGGGTACTGTAAACGTGTAAGTGCTGGCATGGATGACACGATGATGAAAGCACAACTATATCATATCTACAACCTTATAAACCTTTCTCAGATTAAACCAAAATGCATAAAATGTGGCTCATGTGTAATGACGTTGATCTATTTTGGGCTATGCATGTGTTAAATTTGATTGGGGGTGTTCCACAGACAAAATTTGACAGTCCAGTGGTCCCGTCAGTTAGTCCAGTCTAGACAGCCATAATTCTCGATAAATCCAGGTTTTACGTACTTACACCAGCATCTTTGAGGAGTTTGGCAAGAGCTCTGGTGAGAATGATGCTCTTTTTGGCCCTTGTTACTGCCACATAGAGGATGTTTCCCTCTTCAACATCTGTAGGACGGAGACTTGGAGATGTTTCTTCTGGTGACCAAGCTGGAAAAACAAAAACAAAATCATAGTTGGGAGGAAAGTTTGGGCACTGTCGTACACAGCAAACACACTTGTGAAAGGGGCACACCGTTTAGCTATGAACACATGAGCTATTTTCAGTTACAGTGCAATACACACATAATGTGACCCTGTATGCAAAGAAATTGTTAATAACAGTACACCCTTTTTCTACAGCTTTGCAAAATTTTAGTGACCCCTCCCTCATGAAGTAGTTTTCAAAGGCTTTGCTGAACTACCAAAGCTAAGAACCCAAAGCTAAGACAGTGTGGGTCCTGCTTATTGTTCTTGTATAAACAACAGATTTTAGGCTTCTTTTTAGACAATGTGTTAACAATTTGTGTGCCAAAGATCAGCACTAGGACACACATCAACACTAGAGCATTCATTTAAATTGAAGGAGCACTGCACAACACTAAAAATTATAGTGTATCACCGTTAAAAGGAAGCAGAATACACTCTGGGAGAGTCATAGGGCACATGAAGCAGGCTATCTTTTTACATGTGACAGAATTGATGAACAGACCTCAATACCAGAATGGCTCAATAGCAAGTACACATACAATGTCGGTCTTCCTCTTCCTGTCCCAAGTAATCATCAGTCAATTTGACAGTGTCAAACTCCAGCCCTTTGCTCTTGTGTGCAGTAGAGAAGACGATATCTAGGAGGACAGGGGCAGTGAAAAAAGCGAAGTCATAAAAACATTAGTTGGCGAGCAAAGTTAGCCCACTTAGTGGTGTAAATGCGAGGTTATCTGCATTTATGTTGTGAACCACACTAGCACGACACACCGTAATATTTTAAATACGTAAGAAATGCACTAAAGTGCAAACCCTCGGTGGACACACGCGTGTCGAGTATACACTCCTAATGATTGATGGGTGGGGCTATGCTGTGAATTGCACGTGGTCTCGGGTTTACCCTCTCTCACACGCTTTTAAATGGGGCTAGCAGTAGATAACGTTATAGGCACCTGTCGAAACTTCTGGTTCTTACTAACTGGCAGTGCACAGCAGTACAATAGTCATATCCTTGCTTCTCTCTTTACTCCATCCATCATCTCCCTCGTCACTTGCCAGGCTCGTGCCAAGACCTTTGTTGGGGAAACTCAACATTCCTCCTCCGTTGTAACTTCTGATGCCTCCACAATAATGCGAATGTGGTCGAGGTAAGCCAGAATATATGATATTGTCTTGTTCACTTAGTTTTCGTGCTGTAACTTTTGAACCCAGTGATTATAACTTAAAACTCAAGCCAGTGAAGTGCTTAACCCGTTGGCGTTGCTCTTTGGCCGGCTTGTTGCATGTGGTGGCATAAAACGTGGTAAAGGACAGACGGACACACACACACACACATTTAAAAACCAACTATTGTAAGTGTGCCGAGGGTTAATTATTTTACTTATGGATATATGTACTCTGTACCTGCATGTGATAAGTCCTTGGAGTGCATAGACCTGATTTTCTCAATGAGTTTGGGCAGGTCTTCATATTTCTGACATATCTGAAGAACAACATCATCATCCAATGCTAGTTAGCCTGGTACCCAAGGTCTTGAGAGAGTCTGGTACTCACGTTTTTGTGCATGCATCTATACCAGTATTAGCTTTTCCAACTGATGCACCCAAGAAGCATGTACAATGAAAAAGCACTAAAGTGCAAACCCTCGGCGAAATGCGCATGCGCGGTACCGCTAATTGACGGGCTAGGCTATTAGTATGCGTTTACCCGCTAGTAGCTCGCAGAGAGTCTGACACGGACTAGCTACAGGAGTCGATACACGCTCTTCGTTGTGACTTCTTGTGCCTTCAAGATACACAGAGCAAGCGGACCTGGTCGAGGTAAGCCTGCGCTAAATATAAGCGCATGCGCATTTTCCGCAGCGATAAAAATGGCCGACTACGCATTAGCCGTACAATGCTGGAAGCGCTCTAGCTTTGCAACAGAGCATTTTCAGATAAAACCACTCGAAATTTCTGACCTTCATTGCCCGTTAAGTAAGTCGTATCGTTTTTGAGACGAACGAACATTGGAGAAGCGAGATGTTGAGTAACAGACACACACACAGACGGACCACACAGACATACAGACAGACACACAGGCCCAACTACTGTACCCTCGCTGCGCATGCGCGCCGAGGGTAATGATGAAGTAAAATACTAAGGCAATGCACTAGACAGTATTGTTGCTATCAAGTGCAGTGAGCCATAGGAAGCCATCCAAGCCTTAACTGCTCGTAAAGAACAACTAGTGATGTCATGATACAAATATGTATGCTGATTGCAGGAGAGATACATGCATGTGAAAACAGTGAGTACCAGGTTCTTTCTCCACTACAGATAACATTAACAGAGTATGTAGTGCATAGCCAAGTATATGGTCGGATCTCTGACTTCTACGTGTACTAAATTGGGGGGCGTGACTTTACTAGTACACATACTTGTACGTATGTGCGGACATCTGCACCTGGCTGGCTTAACAGTGTCACTCGCCTTGATCTTATTCATGAGAGAAACATTATCTGTTTTCTCAGCAAACTTGACCAGACTGTCAAAGGATTTCCAGCTCTTGATGAACTTATGAGTAATCTCGCTGTTTCTTCCCCTTCGCAGATTGTTTATATCCAGGTACATGTCAAAATCATACTTCTGAATCCCCTAGTGGGAATTAAAGAGCAATGAGGCATTAACAAATTCAAAAAATTGTTTTCTTGTTCATAGAATTCAACCAATGAAGTTAAAAAATGTGGTGAGGTTCCCGTAAGCCTTGGGATACCATTGGAGTTTAAGTGCATATTAGTGCTAGGGTAAAAGAAAACATTGCTGGCAGTTTGGCTCCTTCCTACCTGCTAACGAGTACAAAAAACGACAAGCTTACACCGGCAAATCCTAGTTTGAGGGATGCTCCACTTCTGATAATTTTCACCATCTCGTCAAAGAGAGTGATGTTCATTCGAGCAATTATAGCAACCTGACCCACTTCGTTACCATCCAATCTCCCTACAATTAAAAGCATACATAAATACAAGCATTGTGCAAATGTGTTGTGTCAGCAACTGGCTAATCCCGAGAAAAACAGTCCAGTCTTTTTTGATCAGGTTTGCTCATTAAACTGCATCGTTTTCCTTTCCCTAATGTATGTTACACTTGAGATACTGATTGGGCAAGCTACAAACCTGTATGTGGGCTGCCGATCAGTGTCTGTCTCCAGACATTCTTCAGGACACTGAGGGTACAGGCTGAAACATATGCTATCTCTGGACCAAATCTGAATGACTGTCCATTGTGTGCGGTGGGAGAAAGCAGGTACAGTGTCTAGGATTGCCACGGACTATCACAGGATATCCCATGGTTATAGAGGCTAAGGGCTACTGACAGGAACAGGTATGATATCCTGGGACTCCCTGGCAATCATGGACATCACTGAAAAGCATAAACAGAAGCGCTGTCACTCTTACAACACAGACACACCCAAAAGATTAACTTCTAGGTATACATTAAATACTTCAGTGAGGTGAAAAATTCTGTTGGCTGAGATCTGCTCCAAGGCATTTGTTGCTCCCCTGAAGCCATATATTTGTTGGTGAGTGTCCCCAACAAAGATCTTGGCACAAGCCTGGCAAGTGACGAGGGAGATGATGGCTGGAGTAAAGAGAGAAACAAGAATATGACTATTGTACTGCTGTGCACTGCAGAACCAGAAGTATCAACAGGAAAAAAGCTGATCATAAATAATTAGATGATGGCATTGATAACATGGTTTGATGTAAAGAATGTTCTAAGTCTCCCTAGAACACCTGCTAGCAACTAAACTCCACTTAGTACCCTACGCATAAATTTATGAGAGTATGCCCCAAGCGGTAATGCAGAGAAGTGACCGTAGCATCTGTTTAGCAGCAGATAAGCGAGTTTCAAACCACTAGGAAAGAGCCCGATTGTCACAGTGGTGTATACCCAGCTTTGCTTTCCGGTATATTTCACAGACACTTCGAGCGAGACTGAACTAGCTGAACGGGCCACAAATGGAGCCCGTTGTTGCAGATGTTGTTCTAGGGTGTTGCGCAGCTAAACACTAAAGCTAACCTGTCACAGGGGCATCATTCCTCGCAGTCGGTCTTGGATGATGCAATAGTAAAATCTTGTAGTACTTCCGCTCAGGTGCCTAACGTACATAACCAAACCTGGTGTCAGGTCTTGTGCCTCATCCACCAGAAGACAGTCATAGCCCCTGATCTCAGGCTTGCTCAGTTGAAACAGCTTCAGGTAGCCTGCAACAAGTAAAGGGTAATAAAGAGTGCCTATCTTTCAAGTGACAAACCGTCATCTGACATTCTGATATCCTTGTCCCTGGTATCAATCATCTTCTTCCAAACGTATGCAGCTTCTTTAAGGATATCAACCCTGTATTTGGGATCATTCAGTCTTCTTACTTGGGCCTGCATAATATATAACGTAAAACAACCACAAATGTATAAACCGGGTTAGTATTACAGACACTGATAGGCAAAAACAACGTTTGACATGCAGTGAGCTTAAAATTGCTGAATGGCAGAAAGCTTTACAGCAACAGCCTTGAAATATAGGAGGCTTGACAGGAAGACATGCTGGATTTAATTATTGGACATGCTAAATCCCGGAATACTTTCCATAAAGCTGAATACTGAGTATAGGTCCACTTCTGGAGGAAATTGGTACAGTGGAGAAAACCATAGCTATACATCTTTTGGCCAACGTGATCCTATCTTATGACCTTGTTGAACTTCACTAACCCCCCCCACACACACACACACTACTTCAAACAGTCAATTACTGCGTGCTCTTCTGGAGTGACTTCCTCATTCCTCCTCCTTCTGATGGTGGTGGGAATATGCTCATCCAGAAACTCATCATCACAAGAAGCTATAAACTTTTCGACAGTCTGAAGGATGCAACGAGAGAATATGAAGAGAGACAGGCCCTTTGGTGCCTTCACACATTGTGAGATGTGGTAAGAGTTGACAGAGCCTCTCTTCGCAACGTATTTCCAACTGTAAGGTAGGACAGGAAAAAGGAGATATTAGTACTTAATACACTGGGAGTAATCCCAAACGTATGAATTTTCAAGGTTCATGTAACAATCTCGCACAAAAATGTATGCACCACGCCCATCTGCCAACACTGAAACACAGATGAATGTGAGGTAATAATTAAGTACATGTATCCTTCTGACCCGACTGCCACAGGGTCGCCCCGAGAGCCGTGGGCCAGGGAGTGGAAGGTGCGACACTTGACATTGCAAGGGAAAATGGTTGCAGCATGTTCCTGGACAGATCTGAAGGGAGTGATAGGATGGGAGTTAAAGGAAAGGTTCGTGTATTGCCCCAAATACGTGGTAGAACTGTGTATGAGTAAAAAAACGGGCAAAAAGGTGCTGTACTTGTTGTAGACACAGTAAAGAAAACTCATGTTTGGATTGAGTGCTGTGAATCGAAGGAGCGTTGTTGTCTTTCCAGTGCCTGTAAACAACAGACATCTATCATTAAACTCAATTATTCCACAAAACTGTACAAATGTAAGAAGTGTATTTACCAGCAAATGCCATAACTTTGATGACTTCTCCTGGCTGAAGTCTGTGGTTGACAACCTCAGACTGCTCTGCAGTCAGCTCTCTACTAGAGCGCTCACTAGAGAGAAGAAAGAAGAAAGGAAAGGCAAAAGCAAAAGACAAAGTTTTTCTATAAGCATTGACTTACAACGACCACTATGGAGGAATCTTACTTTTTAAATACCTTTAACTCCACTTATCGGGTTATAGGCATGGCCCCACAACAACGGGCCACTTATACCTGACTAGTTAACACTATCTGTGGGCGAAGGAACCAGGTTTTCCCTGCGCCACAACTTGCCCGCTAGATCACGTGATCAGCGCCACTCCCGCCGGCGTCACGCATGCGCAGGACGGCGAGGCCGGGGCGTGGGTAACTCCCGCGCAGGATTATCCCCTTCGGTCAGCGCTGATCACGTGACCCCGACGCGGCTTTAGCTCTATCGGCGCATCCATCGACTGCCGGCCAACTTGTTTCGGGGGATGTGCGCACAAGCCCCATCGAACGGGCCAGGCGCATAACGTTGGATGGGGCGACTCCCCCCCTTGATACTCTTTATTCACATCCAAAGATGGAGATCTAGCCCCCACCCCGTCTCTCTTTTTTGGGGGGTGGGTGGGTTGGGCTGGGTGGTTTTAGACCAGAGCGTGAAACTGCCGTCTTCACCCTTCGTGTTTATTCTCCGAAATGGTTGCTATAGCCGACGCACGCCTGCTGCACAATTTTCCGCTGCTCGAATTTCCCGCTCGAAACTTGGGCGCTCGCGCGCATGCGCCTATTGTATATACTCTCTCCCTCGCGCGCGCCGCCCCCCTACCTACTCTCGGCCGCGCATGCGGTTCTCGCTTCGCGCGGCGCGGGCTTCTGGTTCCTTCCGTTAACTACGTTAAAGTTCCTTAAACTTCATTTAACTCCACTCATCGGGTATTAGGCATGGCCCCACAACAACGGGCCACTTAGTTAACACTATCTGTGGGAGAAGGAACCAGGTTTTCCCCCCGCTAGATCACGTGATCAGCGCCACGCCCACTGTCGTCACGCATGCGCAGGATGGCGAGGCCGGGGCGTGGGCAACTCTCGCGCGGGATTATCCCCTTCGGTCAGCGCTGATCACGTGACTCCGACGTGGCTTTAGCTCTATCGGCGCATCCATCGACCGCCGGCCAACTTGTTTTGGGGGATGTGAGCACAAGCCCCATCGAACGGGCCAGGAGCGTAACGTTGGAAGGGGCCCATGGTCTGAATTGTCGAGTCCTCCACCCCGGCCGAGGCGGCCGCAGTAGCCACCCAAATCCGGAAACTGTGTCCAGCATACAGGTTCTGGGAACACCGATCTCCGTCAGAACAGCCCGCAGACGCAAGATGAACCTGGCCTTGGTCATAGGCACCGACGCTGAATTGATGAAGAATGGGCCAGGTCGGTCGCCCCGAGTGGAAACATAACTCATAACGGCCGAGATCGGACACAGCTCGGTTCCCGTGCGGCCCACTATAATATGGCAGCCCCTACCACTCTGATCAGTCTTCGACCGCTTCAGGTGAATCGTCGCCATGGTGGGTAGAGACGGATGGTCGAACGCAACATCCCCCCACCCCAGGTGGAGACTGTCGTTAAACTCGGACACCGATGAGAGTAGAAGCTCCCCCAAACGGAAGAAGCCGAAGAAGGCCGTGCAGCAAATCACCCAGAACAGGGGTCTCTCCGGATCCGAGGATGTCTGCAGCGCCACCCTTATACGACTGAGCAGCTCTGCCGTGATCGGCAAACGGACATGAGCAGAGTCCCCCTGCTGTAGGCGGAGATGAGAAACTCCCGCCTGAACCCTCTTGAGAATAGGGAAGGCGGAGGTCTCGCGGGGGTCCGGCAGTCCCAGCGATAGCTGTGCGTTACGGACGGCCGCTACGTACGATTTTACAGTCTGAGGTGAGAGCCCTTCGTCTGCTAAATAGGCTACTGGAAATTCGGTTACTGGAAATGGGGTAGATATACCAAACCTCTCACAGAACGAGCAGAAACGCCTTATTCCCGAGTTGTATAATCTTTGGGTGGATGTTGCGATCCCTGCCTGAAAATATCTGCGAACAGACTCTGCCATGCCGGGGACACCCAGTCTATCTCCGGAGGCAGGAGCACGAGAGCCGTTGGGCTGGGGGCAGAAAGGACTTGCCGTTCCACCCACTGACAAAGGACTTCCACCAGGCCAAATCAGACCTAAACTCCCGATTCAAGCGGATCGGGTGGTTTGACCGGGAGGAGTCCGGCATGCTATGTAGGAGGTCGATCATCCTACCCAAAAAGGATCGGCCCGACCTGACCACTTTGTACGCATGGTTCAGCAACCCCACCAATGACTCCAACTCCTTCCGTTGGCAGGCCTTCCGATCTCCCCATTCTTCCAAACGAGCCCTGAGACGCAAGAGCTTTTCCTCGGGGAGTCTCAACTCACAGGCCAGCGTGTCGACCTCTATGCCCAAAAACATGAACCTCTAGCGATTCGCACACTCCTGACGCAGAATAACAAGTGCGACTGCGCATTGCTCAGATCCCGGGGCCCCTACCACGACGAAAAATAGTGATAAATGTAACTGACCCCCTTTTGGCGAACATGCCATTCGAGGGCATCTGCCACCACCGTGAAAGTCTTTGGGGCAGACCGCAAACCAAAGGGCAGCATGGGGTCGATATACACCTTGCCATTCCATCCCACAGCTTGCAGGGGACGGTCCTGCGGGTGAACGGGAATGATCCTGTAGGCGGACTCTATGTCAGTCTTTACGAGGAGGGCACCCCTCCCTAGACCCGCTGCTACCCCTGCAACTAGCTCGACTGACGTGTAGGACAGGGAACAGAGGGCAGGGTCGATTGCATCATTGACGCTGGCATCGGGTGGGAAAGAGAGATCAGTAATGAGGCGCCATTTGCCCGTATTCGCCCCTTTTGGGATCACCCCAAAATGGTTGATGTGGCAGGGTGGGAGCACAGCGAGTTCCTCCTCTCTGAAGGGGCCCAGCATGCGGCCCAGAGAGCATTTCATATCCAGGTATTGCTGAATCACCTCCGGGTGCTCCTGTGCAGAATGCATATTGCGAGCTGCCGACTTGAGTGGGGATGAGCGGTTGAAACCAACACGAAACCTCCCTGAGACCTCTCAAAATGTAGCGTGCAAATGCCTGATCAGGGTGAGAGCGCAACGATTCCTCCCACGTCGACCACCGCAAAGGTGTGCTCACCACTGATAGCTGCTCCCAACGCCCGACAGAGTCTGGTCGGCAGAGCTCTAGAGTAATCAGGTCTGCGGTGTATGGATACTGCAGCGCCCAATTCTGTTGAGCACGATACAGGCAATTGTTAAGTGACCAGCTATGGCTGTCACACCCCTAGTGGGTGGAGAAGACTACTCTATAGCGCTACCCTTGAACTACAGGAGATGAACATACTTTCATTTCCCATCGTCACACGTTACACGTATATACACATAATATTACAGTGAGGGAGGGATGGGGTCTGGAGACAGATACATGCATAATAACTGCTATACAGTTCTGCAGAGAACCCCGAGCAGGAGCTTGACCAGCGTCGTTCACGTCTCTGACCTATCGGGTAGGGCTGGGGGCCGGGAAATGCTCTGCCCCGAGCTCCGTTGCGGTTCCTAACCGGCGCGCCCGTCGCCGGTGCCGACTCTCGACATGGGAAGAACACGGCCGGATGCGAGCCGAAGCAATCCTGGTAAACCGGCATCTCGAGAAGCGACACCGATTGTCGTTGTAGTTGCAGCTGACCTGGCGGTCTGCCGCTGGCTGCGTGTGACCCCCCAACAGTTGCTGTTGGACAGGGACGCAGAGCTGCCGCAGGTCGGGGAGCCAACCCCAAACGAGAGGGGCCGGATTGTGTGGGCAAGTCGCCCCACCATGGTTGTCGCCCAGGCAGTGCGGGCACTGCGGGACCACCTTGGCCCTGCCAGTGAACGCCTCATTGTAGAGCCTGCTGTTTGGCGTGGACCAGTTCAGGTCTTTGCGGGCCAGCATTTCCCTCCGATATTATCGGTCGTAGGCGACCCAGTTTGCCCCATCATAATTGTGGGCCGCCCTCAATATCGTACTCTGATATGCCCAGAGCTCTGGGGCTTTATCTGGGAACCTCGTAGAGGTGAGGGTGGCCATCCTTCTGTAGCATTCGAGCCAAATCTTGATGTCTGTCACCGGCAGCTTCGAGGCGTTTAACCGATGAATCGGGTTGGGCTCCGTCGCCGAGGGCTCATCCACCCATATATCGGCCTTCAGCTCGCCCATCTCCACGAACTCCAAGTCGAACACCCTTTTCACCACCTTAGGTGGCAACGCCGCCGCCGGGTTGTACGGCCTGGGAGCTGAAATCGACGAGGCGGACGCCCGAGATGTGGCCGAAGCTGCTGCAGCCAGTACATCTAACCCCGAGGAAGGAGGCCCGGATGCCGACTGTGGCAGCGACCCCAGCGAGAAAACGGGCAGCGGTGGCAGAGTGTGGGATTCTACTTACAGCCCAACAAGGGAACCCCTGCACTGTGCAGTGGGATCCCTGCAGACCCCGGGCGGGCAGCGTGCCAGAATGCACTATCCCTGGCAGCCCCCCCGCAGAAGTGAAGGTTGGTTTGAGACCAGAGCGTGAAACTGCCGTCTGAACCGTTCGCGTTTATTCTCCGAAATGGTTGCTATAGCCGACGCACGCCTGCTGCACAATTTCCCGCCGCTCGAATTTCCCGCTCGACACTGGGACGCGTGCACGCATGCATCTATTGTATATACTCTCCCCCTCGCGCGCGCCTCCCCCCCTACCTACTCTCGGCCGTGCATGTGTCTCTCGCTTCGCGCGGGCGCGCCGAGGGTTAATAAAGCACAGGCTACATGTTTTTGTGTACTTGGTAAGCAGTTCTTCATATTGCTGATAATGTGTAACGCGTTGCTCGATTTAGCCCTAGTAGTCTTGATGACATATTGCATATTGCAATGAAGTTTAAGGAAGTTTAACGTATTAACGGAAGGAACCAGAAGCCTGCGCCGCGCGAAGCGAGAGACACATGCATGTGTGGGTTTGTGTGTCTGCATGTCTGTATGGTCCGTCTGTGTGTGTGTCTGTTATTCAACATCTCACTTCTCGAGTGTTCGTTCGTCTCACAAAGGATACGACCTACTTAACGGGCAATGAAGGTCAGAAAACTCGAACGGTTTTCTCTGAAAATGCTCTGTTGCAAAGCTGGAGCGCTTCCAGGATTGTACAGCTAATGCATAGTCGGCCATTTTATCGCTGCGGAAAATGCGCATGCGGTTATTATGCTAATTCGACCGGGCCCACTTGCTCTCAGTCTGTCTATCTTGAAGGCTCAAGAAGTCACAACGAAGGGCGTGTATCGACTCCCGCATGCTATCTACTACTGTAGCTAGCCCGTGTCAGATTCTCCGCGAGCTATACTAGCGGGAGACCACCACGAAATAGCCCAGCCCATGAATTAGCAGTACCGTGCATGTGCAGTTCGCTGAGGGTTTGCACTGTAGTGCTTTTCATCTATAACTTGAACAGTACTTGTAGCAAATTTGCGCTACGTCAGAGACTGTTTGTCCGTCCGTCTGTCTTCCTTCTACCATGCTTTCTGCAACACGCTATATTAATCAAGTAACGATACCAACAGGTTCATTCCTACATCGTGTTGATTTTCAAAATAGTGTGATTTTCGTTAAAGTACTGCATTTGAAAGTTCTGGCATGAAAGGTAAGTGAACAAGCCAAAATACATACACTTACTTATATCTTCACCTGATACACTAGCCCAGTGTACGAACATAGGAGGCACAAGAAGTCACAACGGAGGGCATGTATCGAGTATGCATGCTATCTACCAGTATACCTGGCTAAACTCTCCACAAGCTAAAAGCAGGAAAACATTAGTAAATTGACAGCCCATAGCCCAGCCAATCAATTGGCGGTACTGTGCATGTGTACGGGTTTAACGTTTTATAGGGTGCCGTGGGTTTGCACTTTAGTGCTTTCATCACTTATTACACTTCAAAAGGCAGAATGGGAAACTTGTTTTGTAATATCCTTTGTCTACTGAACTTGCAAACAATATACACATGTGGACTAATTTCTAATCTAAGCACACAGTGTTCAATGTGGAACTAAGGGCACATTAATGAATATGTATAATATGGCATAAAGAGAGATAGTCACCTGTATTTATGAAGACTCTGTTGTCCAGCTGATAGCTGGCTCATTGGCTCACTCACTGCAACACCACAAAAGCTCCTCTCAGACAGGTTTATAGCATAGAAAAGGTTGTAGTGTATCCTGGCATACAGAATGAATACATGAGTGTGTAAAAAATATTCTCTTACCAATGATACATGAGTATACAAAAACAAAACCTAAGCTGGAATGAAAAGCACTAAAGTGCAAACCCTCGGTGAACTGCGCATGCATGGTACCACTAATTGATGGGCTGGGCTTTTTTTTCTTTACTTGTTGTATCCCGCTAGTAGCTCGCGGAGAGTCTGGCACGGGCTAGCTACAGTAGTAGATTGCATGCGGGAGTTGATACATGCCCTTCGTTGTGACTTCTTGTGCCTTCAAGATACACAGAGCGAGCAGACGTGGTCGAGGTAAGCCTGTGCTAATTTGCATATTAGCTCCTCAGGCTGACCAGAAACAACGCCACGACGCGCACAGCCGTGATCGAGAATTCGACATTGGGGAAACTGTGTTGGCAAGAAACCCGAGGGAAGGTCCAAAGTGGATAACTGGAACAATCTTTGAGAGGACAGGACCAAGTCAGAGACCAGGTCTGGAGACATCATACAGACCAACTGCTCTCCAGTCAACTCAGTCCTACCGATGACAACGAGGACGAGCCACTGTCGACAAATACAGAACCATTGGTGGTATACCCTCCTGCTGGAGAGTCACCTGTTCCTCCACCGGTCAGGCCAACAGTTGCCACTGACCAGAGTCAACAGAACCCCAGGTTGCACAAAACACACCAACTGTAACCCCAGCTTCGACTGAATCGAATTCAACATCTCCGACACGAAAACGATATCCGACGCGGCAACGTTGACTGCCAGAAAGACTGTCCCACGAGACACAGATCTAAGTGACAGGGAATGTGGTGTATGTTATGTTGTGTGTATGTTAGTCACCTATTGTACAGTATGGCCATGCATGCAAAAAGGTTAATCATTTTAGTTCTGTAGGCATGCGTAGTATCTGGCATATAAAGACTGGATGCGTATGTTGTATGGAGAACGAAAACTATCTATTTTTGAGATACATGTGAACCACGCGGGTTGATTTCTCTTCATGAAGACGTCGAACTCTGTAGAGGTGAACTGTGGACCATTATCGGAGACGATCTGGTCAGGGAGTCCATAACGTGCGAACATGCCCCTCAACACCTCTAAGGTCTTCTCGGTAGTGGTTGAAGCCATCGGTACGACTTCCAACCATTTGGAGTACGCATCCACGAGAACCATGAACATGGAGCCTTGAAACGGTCCTGCGAAGTCGACATGGACCCTCTTCCATGGACCATCAGGCCATGCCCAAGGATGGAGGTAGGTGGTGGATGGTGCATTCCTCACACTCTGACAATCGGAACATTCTCTGACCAAATTTTCTATGTCCTTGTCGATTCCACACCACCACACATGGATGCGAGCGAGTGATTTCATTTTCACAATGCCGGGATGGCTTGCATGAAGTTCGCGAAGTACGGCTTCCTGACAGGCGTGAGGTACCACAACCCGCATTCCCCACAACAGACATCCTGCCTCAACTGAGAGTTCAGTTTTCTTGGAGGCAAACGTCTTGAGCTCTGAGTCTACCTTTACCGGCCAACCCCGTTGTACGTAGGTCAGGACACGAGAGAGCAAACGGTCATCTCTGGTAGCTCTTATCAGTGTCGCAAGTGTCGGTAGCTGTTTCTTTGGGCCCAGATGGTCAGAAGGGGTTTGTGATCTGTCACCAACAGAAACTTTCTCCCCATACAGGTACTGGTGATACTTCTTTCTTGACTTGCTTTTCACGCCATAACTTTCGAACGCAGCATTTTTACCAAAATCGCTATTTTAAAAATAAAGCCAGTGTGGCACTGAACCCGTTGGTATCGCTTTTTGGCCGTCTTGTTGCGCGTAGCGGGAGAAAACGTGGTAACAGACGGACAGACGGAACGACAGACGGACGGAATGACAAACCAAGTACTATACCCCCTGCTGCGCCGAGGGTTAATTACAATCCCTATGCATCCAGTAGACAGCACTTTGCCTCAAGACCATGAAGAACATTGCAGCAGGTAAAACGTCTCATACACACACAACAAATGTTCACAACAAGGGGAACTTGATTGTCACGTGAATGGTTGTTATCACGATCAAACTAAGGATGGCCCAGATGATGATCGAAGAATGATTGCTGGAGGAACGACTACAGAGTCGAGGACAAAGTACTGCATAGCATTTACACATACACTAAAAGAACCACGTCTTATTCATTAACCCTTGGCGCGCATGCCCAGCGAGGGTTATAGTACTTGGTTTGTCATTCTGTCCGTCCGTCCGTCTGTCTGTTACCACGTTTTCTCCCGCTACGCGCAACAAGACGGCCAAAAAGCGATACCAATGGGTTAAGTGCCACACTGGCTTTATTTTTAAAATAGTGATTTCGGTAAAAATGCTGCGTTCGAAAGTTATGGCGTGAAAAGCAAGTCAAGGAGCTAATGCGCAGGCTTACCTCGACCACGTCTGCTCGCTCTGTGTATCTTGGAGGCACAAGAAGTCACAACGAAGGGCATGTATCGACTCCCGCATGCTATCTACTACTGTAGCTAGCCCGTGCCAGACTCTCCGTGAGCTACTAGCGGGATATCACGAGTAAAGGCATAAAAAGCCCAGCCCATCAATTAGTGGTACAGCGCATGCGCAGTTCGCCGAGGGTTTGCACTTTAGTGCTTTTCACTTTGATTGTACAGCAGAAAAGTAAAATAGCAACCTGTATTTTACATTTCTAAGCGAAATACAGCACACCCTAATGTGAGGTAGGGCCAGCTACAGATTACTTTACACAATACGTTCTGCACTTGCCTACTGCATCCACATATGTACGTTGATTTGGCTTTTCACATGTGATGCACGCAAAACCAGCTGTTTAAAAGAAGTGGCATGACAGTGAAACTTTACATTGACAATGTCGCGAATCGCGCGCGCAGATTAGCCAAACTGGCGATTTCCAGCAGAGAATTCCGGATAACTCCAGGTTTTTGTCGCATTTGGCAAAAATAGCGACCGGTAGAGGACCCTGCTATTTTGTGTCGCTGGAATGGGAACGCAGAGCGGCAATGCCCGCAATGCCCAGATGCATGAAAAATACACCATGTGATGCCAAGAGGGAAAAAAAGGGATGCAGAGCTCTGGACAGCTGTTTCGGGCTTGTTGGCCCTCATCAGCAGAGCATACCACAACTTCTCTCTCTGGCACCACGAGTTTATAAAGGCTAAGTTGAGCACAGCACTTGTGGTTTTGAACTAATGAGATTCATCCCCACAAGGCTTTGCTCAGGCGCAGCGCTTGCGGTTCTGAACTAATCCCCACAAGGCTTTGCTCAGGTGCAGCGCTTGCGGTTCTGAACTAATGAGATTCATCCCCACAAGGCTTGCCAGTACCAGCCAAAACCCGAACTCAAAATACTGACAACGGATTGGGCCGCGGCAATGAAGCCAGCAAGCACCCATATCCTGCCAGTGCATACACATGAAAAATACACTATGTGATGCCAAGAGGAAAAAAAAGGGATGCGGAGCTCTGGACAGCAGTTTAGGGCTTGTTGGCCCTCATCAGCAGAGCATACCACAACTTCTCTCTCTGGCACCACGAGTTTATAAAGGCTAAGTTGAGCGCAGCACTTGTGGTTTTGAACTAATGAGATTCATCCCCACAAGGCTTTGCTCAGGCGCAGCGCTTGCGGTTCTGAACTAATGAGATTCATCCCCACAAGGCTTTGCCAGTACCAGCCAAATCCCGAACTCAAAATACATGAAAAATACACCATGTGATGCCAAGAGGAAAAAAAAATGCGGAGCTCTGGACAATTTATGGTACATCCTGAAAGTCGTTACAATGCTTAATTCTCTCTCACAAGACTTTCGCGCATAGCATTCATGTGCAAATGCGCGAGTGTCTTGTGAGAGAGAATCAAGCATTGTAACAAGTTAAGACGCAGAACAATGACTTTCAGGATGTACCATAAATTAGATGTGTAGTTGGTGAATCTACCGACAATATTATGATTGTAGCCAATCTGAACCACTTGGACATCTAAATTAACCATCTCCACCTGCCAATCACATGACCATGCCAAGCCTCGTTTTATCACGTGATGAAATGATTGATGTGCCTAATTGTCCCGGAGTTCACTGTGTGAACATTACGTTACCTCATTGGTAATTTCTTCACCTCATGGCAGCCATAGAGACAGAGAGTAGCCAGGCAGTAAAACACCTCCATTACCTCGTGTCTCCTGCTAGAAGACCGCAGGAGGTAATTTATAACTGATTGAACCTCTGGTACACTCTTGCTGCACAACACCACCAGAGTAGCTCTAGCAATTGCTTCTGAACCCTGGACACAAGAGGAACACATTGCAACTAAAAATTGCAACTAAAACTGACAACTGAGGGGAAGAGCTCTCTTTTTCTGGTGACACTTTTTGCACCTGTGAGCCTTTCCTTCCCTTGCATGCAACACAATGGCTAACAGTGTGCATTCTACTGTTATGAGTAGAACCAAAAACCTTGGAGCTGACAACTGAGGGGAAGAGCTCTCTTATTCTGGTGACACAGAGGCTTTGCGGATGAATGAGCAGCTTCTTTTGCAACTCATCACTAACTTCCAGTTCAGGGAACTGCTCACTAACAAACCTGCAACACATTAAACGTGTGCATGTATATACTAGTTGGCTTGTAGCAAGGCTGCTTAGGCCAGGAGGAGAAAGAGGATGGTACATACTAACTGTGCATGAACGTAGTTCCCTCAAGTTTCTAGGGATCGTGACATTTTGTCAGGGTCATGCATACTCTCCAACACCAAGTACGGAAAGCTTCCCGTGGCTCACCGTGACTGTGAATCAGAGCAACGAGCATTACTGGTAAGAGTTGCTTTAGAGTAAATTGCCTTGCCTCATGAGTTCTTGCATCCCTTCTAGTAATACATTCCACTGACTTATGGTCCCTTTTAGCATACATGGCCATATTAGTAATTACACAGTGGTGTGAAATATAAATAAAGATCAGACACACCTGACAAGAGGCACAGTTGTAGTTTTCAGTGAGACACCGTAAGGTGTTGGTGACCACACCTCCTTTACCAGAGAGGTGACTGTCTGATGTGACTGGCTACAGCGTCCTGACTTGCACCTCCAGTACATCTTCTTCCAGTACAGAAACTGCATCGAATGAAACAAACAAATACAGTAATATTATGTAAATACACACAATGTGCTTCCGCTGTGCTGGGACACATAAAAAACAAGTGGAAAATTCATTTATTTAGGGATGACTATATATAAGCACCAAAAAGGAAGAAACAAAGGGTCATCACATAGCAAAGATGCCCAAAGTTACATGACACCATCCCTATATCTTTTTTGATACGAAACTCAGTGGATCACTTGTTTCCACTATTTTTAACAGCTTATGACAACACTGCATTTTACTATTACAGTCACTCTGATGTTCATAGGTAGGTTGTAGACCATGGACAAACTCAAGCTAACTGTTGAAAGCAGTAGCTAATGGCCTGTTGCTGCTGCCATGAAGCAGGGGGTACATATTCCCCATGTATTGTCTTCAACAAGGATGTAACTAGTGGAAATGTGGAACATTGTTGGCGAGCGGGAGCGACCCAACTTGGGATTTGCCCGTGATGTTCGGGCTGCATCACGTGCTGTCAGCGCACAGCTTTCCTTTCGTGAAGCAAGACAGATCTACCTGTCGCCGTTACATGTGTACTCTATACTGGCAGAACGGTGAGCAGGTGAGCAGAACAGTACTTACCTTATGCTTTCAGCTCGCCAGTCGTGGTCCACTAGGCAGCTGGCATGCAGCAGTATGTGCACGAGCAATCCTAGCTTATTAGCAAGTTGCACCTGAAGATTGGGAAGAGGTACAGCCTCGGTCAGTCACCGAAGATTGCAGTGCATGCCGTCGAATGGAGGAGAGTTCTCTCGCTGGCTAGATCGATCGGCCCATATCGCAAGGCAGCGTGTGTGAAAATCAGTAAAAATATTTGGAAATGATTTCAAATAAAAAGAAGCCATGTGCCAGAAGCGTGAAATGAAGGATTATCACATGGCATATGACAATGCAGAGAACAGGTATGTAGTTCTAACTCATATTATTTCCTTGCAATTACTCTATATATAACTAACTAGAGCACGGGTAAACATGATAGCAAAGGCAACTGGATGCAAAGGCTCTTGTGCTCTCATGAGGCTGCCCAACCATGACCGTTTACTTCAAACGATGCCTGATGCAACGAAGGATTTCATGGAAAAGATTGTATATCTTATCACTCTGTCACTTTTGATCTCTGTTCTATTTGTTCCCAATGTATAAGAAGCTGAGAAAGGTATGTCCGCAATGTAGCATATAGTTCACGTGAGACGAGCAGTTTGTGGATGCGGTCATGCCTTCCATCTAAACGTTAAAAGCACAGTCTGGCAGTATGTCGCAAGCATTGAAACACAGAAGAGCACTGATAGATTGAACAAAGCAAATGTGAGAGCCTCTGTAACACCTGAGCAATTGCTCTAACCGCTAAGCCCTCTGATGCAACTTGCCTGTGTTACGGTGAGACTCGTATTACTGGCTCCGTTGACGACGCATGGCCCAGCACACAGCAACGCTACAACGCACGTTTTGCGCCGAGGGTTTGCACTTTAGTGCTTTTCAGAATGATGGTTCAAAAATGTTTCAAGTCGAGGCTGAGCAGTTCAACTTGCGTGGTGGTTCACTCGTTGGTCTGTGGGTGCTATCTGCATCAGAGCTTATGCTAGGCTGGAGCAACTTCAGATTCCACCTCATCTAGACATCGCCAACTACAAGTATTTCCTCTCTCACCCTTCCTGTTTGAAGAGTCATGACTGGAAGCATGTAAAAGTGAACAACAAATTATAATATTCTGACCGCTCCCAATTTCAGATTACTTGCCAGGGTATTCTGAAATATTGTGTTCGAGATATGGTAAGAGACCAGCAGAGAGAAACACTATTTTAATTGTTAGACACCATGGGAGATCTCATGGCTGAGACTGTCACTGACACCCATAAGCTGGAGATCAGAGTCAACAAGGCACTTGCTCTGTTGGAGAGGGACTTTCCATAGCAATACAGGTTCTGAGGTTCTTTTTCCAAAAAAAACCCTGATATACTATGACTTGTGTGTAGTGTAAGGTTGATAATAACTGCGGGCATCTCCCCCCAGTAGGCCTGGGTGGATTATTCCGGAATAATTTTGGGAATAATAGGCAGTGCAGATAAGCAAGAATAAATCCGGAATAATAGGCTGCTTCTTAGCTGAGGAGGCGGGGCAAGCATGCATTTTTTCTGCATGGGGGGTAGATACCAATGCCTGTGGAGGTTGCCAAGTCGCCAAAGCTACAGTAAGAATTGAGGCTGAGTCTGAGATTGGCACTGCTAGAAAGATCGCCGAGTTCCTGACGTGTGTTCTTCAAAGCATGCAGTATAGTTAGCTACAGAGACAACACTTACAATCCCATAAAAAAATTGATAGAGAATACTTAATAATAGGGATAATTGTGTGTGGAATAATAGGAGCTTTCATAGGAATTGGGGAAAAGAACAATAGGCCAAAAACAAGGAATAATCTGCACAGGCCTACCCCCCAGCTCTCGCTTACAATAACTAATTATTAACACAGGTGACATTGTGTGTATATGCATGCACATACGATATGCAATCCATTTACAGATTATATATGCCCACACCACAACTTTCTTGGTATTATTACAGGACATAACTACCCACCTCCTACATCATTTGATTCAGGTTATCAAACAGTTTGGTCCCGTCTATTCTACATGGATGTACTCATTTGAACGTTTTAATAGTTGGCTCTGTAAAAGAGCACTCAATAGATACAGGCCTGAAGCCACTGTAATGGAGACATATCGAGTAAGCCCCTAGACTTCAAATATTAACTGGACACCATACAATGTGCTGTCGTTAAATTTGCTTGCAAACATGCACACACACCAACACTCAAAATGTGAGCAACAAAAACATGGTTAGTCTTTCATGTTTTATCAGTTGACATGCAGTGAAGCTCAACTGAGTGATGAAGACATGCAGTTCATGGACGTAGCCCAAGATACTAGTGGTCATGAAATTAGGGAATACAAGAAAATTGCTAGGAGAGATGGAGAAAGGATTGTGATATATGAATCTTGAAATTCTTACATTACCTTTCTGAGCAAGAGAATAGGAAAAATAACTGGAATATTCGAGCACGATGGAACATGTTATGCTAGACTGGCTGAATTCACTTCCACACCAAATAATGTATATGGTCTTTTATGTTTCAATGTTAACTCGTTGCGCGCGGAAGGCCAGTATAATGGCCGTTAATCTTTCTCCGCGGTACACGGAGGGCCACTATAGTGGCCACGTAAATTACGTAAAAAAGGGGTGTGTGCGCGCGCGCGCGATTTAAAAATAATTCCGCATAGACAACGTTGCGGGTGTACGCAATAAACGCGTGCAACGTGTTAATGTTTGTTCGTTTTATATATGCCCTTTAGACAAACTTAGCCCACCACTAGCCATAGGTAGAGATGGTGAACTTGTGTGGATACTAAATATGAAATAAACTTTGTTGTATCAATGTCGCTTTCAACTTCATTTCCAGTACATTATATAATGCATTGAATGTCCACACTTTCATTGAATTTCAACTAATATTTCAGGATCAAATTTTTGCAAAACAAATACAGATAGTTTTTATGGCATGTAATAAGCCTATGAAAAACTTAAAACATCATGAAAACTTAACTGATCATATAATTATTATAATTGACTTTAATAGCATGAGTTAATGAAAAGTGAATCATTTTTATAATGCTCTGATTTAAGAACATTTTGATAACCCATGCCATTTTACCATATGACATTTTCAAATAGATTCAATAATATCTCAAGTTTCATGCAAGTATCACATGCTCAGGAAAAACATATAAAAGGCAATTTCAAAGAAATTTCATACACTTTTGGACCTTTAATGTCTAATAAAAAAACTAGTAGTGATGGGCGCTCCACAGAATACTTAGTCAATCCAGACTCCATAACCAGAGGAAGATAGCTCTACCAGAAGGTTGTTGACGGAGATGGTGTACAGAGATAGAGAGAGGACAGCACCTTGATGAACCCCTTGATGTATTGGGAAGGACCGGGAGGTGGAACAGTTCCAAAGATCGGAGGATGAGCATTCTGTTGAGGATGAGCCTCCAGATGTAATAGGGGAAGTTGAATCTCAGGAGTTTCAGCATCAATCCTTCATGCCAGACTGTGTCGTATGCTTTCTTAACGTCCAGGAAGGCTATGTAAGCCTTCTTCTTCTGACTTAGCAGGTGATGAATTGCTTCCTTAAAACAAACACTGTGTGGATGCAACTTGTTCTTGGCTGAAACCACCTTGGAGGGGATGGATGTTACTCATTTGGGTGGATAGTCTGGACAGGAGTCTTTCAAATAGCTTGCAAAGACAGGGAGCAGGGTGATGCCTCTATAGTTGGAGGGATTAGTGGTGTCAGTGATTCTATCCTTTGGGAGAGGGATGATAATCCCCTTACAGAATGAAGTAGGAATGTGGCCTGAGAAGAGAATTGCGTTAAAGATACCCGTGAGAATGTTGGTGAGAAGGGGAGGAGCAAACTGTGGTGTTCACTGGTAAGGTTGTCATGGTCTGCAGCCTTCCTCAGGGGCAGGGCAGAGATAAGCACTTTAATTTCGCCTGTTGTGATCAGTTCAGGCTCAGTGACGGGGTAGTTTCCAAATATTTCTGCCTGACAGTTGAGACCACCAGAAATATTGTTTTGGTGTACCAAGGGATTCAAAGTACTGTTCCCATCCTCAAGAATTTCTGGGCCTTCAAAATTGTTGCCGCCCACGGAGATATAGTTGGTCACTGGCCTGCTCGCAAAGGTGTGGCGTCGCATGGTCTGCAAAAAGCTGTGAGGGTCCATCTCCAGGTCCAAGAATTGAACAAGTTTTCGTCGGCAAGCTTCTTATTTAGCCGTAGTTGAGCTCTGTACTCTCTCTTGGACTGTATGTAGGAAGCCCGAGCCGGATGGTTAGAATTACGGGGGTTACCAGCCTTAACCCAGACCCGGTAGAATTGTTTACATCTTCTGCTAGCCGCTTTTAGGGTGG